GCATCCCAAAACCAGTCCAGCTCGTCCCTGCCTCCCTAACCTGTTCTTCCTCCCACCTATCCCCTCCTCCCACCTCAAGCCGCACCTCCATCTCCTACCGACCAACCTCATCCCGCCCCCTTGACCTGTCCGTCCTCCCTGGACTGACCTATCCCCTTCCTAACTCCCTACCTACACTCACCTTTCCTGGCTCCATCCCCGCCTCTTCGACCTGTTTGTTTCTTCTCCACCTATCCTCTCCTCTATCCCTCTTCTATCCGCCTCCCACTCTCTCCCTATTTATTTCAAAACCCCCTTCCCCTCCCCCTTTTCTGATGAAGGGTCTAGGCCCGAAACGTCAGCCTCTCTGCTCCTATGATGCTGCTTGGCCTGCTGTGTTCATCCAGCCCTGCACCTTGTTGTCTCGTATACTCTGAGCTTGTGGGTTTGGGTGCAGTTGGTGATGGTTGGTGGGGAGCAGATGGAAGTCAGCAAACCTGTAAGAACGGATTTCCTCAGGTCTTGCAGATTTTAGTGCTTGAGGAGAGACTAGATTGCAGGGAAAATCAATCCAGCAGGCAAGTGGAAATCCACTCATTTCGATTCCAGTAATCCTCACCTTCCTGTAGCTGTCAGGTTTCTGTCTCAGGAAACGTGGCTGGCCAGGATTAGATTTGATTTAGAGTTTTAATACTTAAACATTCCATAATCCTAAACCCATTTGCGCTTTGGAGCTAAAAGCCTGCTAAAGGAGTGAGGCTCTGAAAATATTTAATCTCATGGATCAGGATTTTATATTGTTGATGGACCAGGAAGTAATAAGCATCAAAAGGATACAAAGCAGAAGAGTTTTGCATAAGCTGCAGTTTACAGACTGTGGAAGATGTTCTGAGAAAGCAAAGCAATCGCACTGAGTCATGAGCTGATAAAATGTGAAGATAGATTTAGCTGTTGAAGTAAAGGTAGATAATGTTACAGAGTTGAAAATAAGTAGCCCTGATCATAGAGAACATATGAGTCAGAGCGAGTCAAACATAGATGATGCCAAGCTGATACTGTAGCTATGAAGGGAGTCAGGAACATGGGTAAGCCTGCAGTATTTATGGACAATAGCTTTGATTTTCCTAGGATTAACTGGAGACACTTGTAGTTCATCCAGGATTCGTTGTCAGACAAACAGTCCAATAAAAAGACAGTGGGGGGATAAAAAGAGGTGGGAAGCAGAAGTGTCATCAATGTACCTGTGCATCTCGATATCATGGCTTTGATTTTAAACCAGCCTGGGCCAAGAGGATAGGAGATGTTTAAAAGGAACGGGCTGCTCACCTAGTCCTTTCCCACCCTATCTTACTCACTGTGATATTAGAATCAGGTGATTCTCAATGTCACTGTAGCTTCATGCATGTCATGGATCATCACCTACCTCAATGTCACTCTCCGACATTGCTTCCATATACCTTATATCATTTGTTTCCAGAAACCTATCACTTTTTGACTTGAACCTGATCAATGATTGAGCTTCCATGGCCCTCTGGAGGAAAGAAAATTCTTTTTTTCTTTCTTATTTAGTTTCTTGGCCTCTTTTGCATGTTTTAAGTTGCTACCAATCCTCAACCAACCACTTTTTTTGGCATCCTTATAAGCCACTTCATTTGATCTCATGCAATGAGTTAAATTCTTTTGTTAATTGCAGTTAATTTAACTTTCCCTTTGGATGACTGTGCCTTAATGGAATGCATATTTTATACATACTAGATTATGTAGTATCTCTTTAAACACTAGCCATATCTACTGTCAATCTAAAAGCATACTTTTCCAAACAATCATAATCAACTTGTCCCTCATACCTTCATAATTCTCTTCTTCCGATTTACTAACCTAGTTTCAGAATGGATTATGTCAGATTCAAACTTAATGTACAATTCTATAATATTATGTTCACTATTTCCTAAATGCTCCTTTATAGCAAGGTTAATCAGGTTATTATGAACCATTTCTCATTACACAACACTAAATCCAAAATAGTCCAATTCCTAGTTGGTTCTTCAATGCCCTTCCTCAGAAACCAATCTGGTGCATGATCCAGGAATTCATCCTGTTTAGCACCAGTATTAATTTGGCTCATTCAATCTGTGTAAATTGAGTTGTCCATTTTCACTGTATTACCACACTGCATGTATTTCAAACTTCCAAATGTATACCATGCCCAACATTATTGCTATTGTTTAGTGACTGAAAAACAAATCCCACCCATATTTACTGCCCCTTGCTGTTTCTTAGCTCCACCCAAACTGATTCTACACCCTCAATCTAAGATGCTTTCTCAGTAATATACTGATTTCCCCTTTGTTTGAGCTTGTAACAGCATGCCTATACAAGTAACTTGTAATTATACAGCATCTTCAATGCAAAGCACTTCACATAATATTTATTCTCATGTTCTGTTATTTACCACTGAAAATCCTATCATAGCACTACCTAACTCAAGTAGTTATGCACCAGTTAGCTTAACAGTGGTCATGGTCTATTTCTCTTTAAGATAACCTAAGGTTAAAATGATTACATATTGAGATTGAGAAACCAGTTAGAAGAAACTAGCATTGATTTCAAAAGGTGCTATCTTACTTAACAAAGCTCAAAACTATTTGAAAAGTTAACAGGTATTATCTCTGAATAGAACCAATCTTTATTGTGGAAGAGCAGAGGGGTTTGAGGATACAGTTGCACAGAACTTTACAAGTGGAAAGAGATAGTAAGAACTGCTGATGCTGGAGTCAGAGATAACACGGTGTGGAGCTGGAGGAACACAACACGCATCAGAGGAGCAGGAAAGCTGACGTTTTGGGTCAGGACCCTTCTTTAGAAAAATCTGAATTTTTTGAAGAAGGATTTTTCTGAAGAAGGGCCTCGACCTGAAACGTCAGCTTTCCTGCTCCTCTGATGCTGCCTGGCCTGCTGTTTTACAAGTGGAAACTCAGGTTGATAAGACCAGCAAAAAATTATTTTTTAAAAAATTACAATATATCATTAACTCTTGGCTTTCTATAAGTTTAGATAAAACTGGTAAATTTCTACATTTATCATGAAGCTTATAAAATAGCATGAGAATGGTATGATAATTATGACTATTTATAAAGTATAGTATGGTTCAATTGTAAGAAGCTCCTGATCTGAATATCAAATAAGATGGAAAAAAAATCATTAGGACCTACTTCTTAACTATATTATCCCAATTTTCCTTTACAAAATCCCAAGCAAAGAGACATCCAACCAAGGTTTTGCTGGCAGTAGCAAGAATGGAAGGTAGTTCCTGTGCCCTTATTGTTTCATGTTGCAGGCTTTCTTGCATTAACCTGGGAAATGAAGCATTAATATTGTATTTAGTATTTGCAAACCCACATCTAACACTAAGCAACAGATCAGAAGAATGATCTGGAGTTATAACGCTTTTAAAATCAAAGAAAGATTCAGAAATTCAAGCAAAACATGTAACCTGGGTCTAATTTAGTTAGTTATGGACATTTATTATCTAATATCCCACCTCCTGTTCCCTAGAGTGTCTGAGCGCTCCCCATTCAAAAAGCCTGGATCTTCCTGTCTCCAACATCCACAACATTTCCTGTGAGTGTCTATGTAGTGCTATTAGTTAAGTCTCTTCTGGCTGCTAATCAGATTTCCTGGCCATTAATGAGGATGGCAGCATGAGAGATGTCTGCAGTTGGAGTTAAATTTGTTAGGATTGTTCATGTGTAGACAGCCTGCCACCTACCCTTCTTTTAATACTACTCTACAGAGCTGACTGGTATTAAGTGGTGAAGGCTTAGTTACTTTTAAGTCTTTGGCAGAAGCGGTACGTACTTAAATAACAAGTAGTACTTTATTCCATAATGGTAAGGTAAAAAGTTACATCAGCTTAAGACTAATTAACTATATTAACACTAGGTAAAGAGACATTGGTACTCCTGGAAGATATAAGGCAAGATCTAAACCAACTCATAACTGACTGTAGAGAGAGTGAAGTGGACTGTAGACTGACTAGCTCCTCCTAGAGACTGTTACTTATATAATCAATGGATTGAGTCATACAACTATTTCTCAGTTCACCCCAACCCCTGAGTGTTGTTCTGCCCTTTCAATCAACTTTTATATTTTATGTTAACAGTGAATGGCAGTTATGATTCACTATGTAGTAGTTATGCTATATATTACTTATGTTCATACTACTGGTTCTTGTGGACATAATTGAGTGCAATATTACTTTAAAAAAAGCTGGAAAAACTGGAGCTCAGTCATATTTTTGGAGGGCACAGATAAACTGACAAAACAAGTAAAACTCACTTTTCAAACATTATAAACAACGGCATGTCGAAAGGAACAAAAAGATTTAATTTGTAATGTAATTCGAAAGGGAACGTTACAGAAAGGGACAGGGGAAAAATAAATCACATGTAATGCTGTTTCCATGATGTATTCACAATTGGTTAGTAGATTGTGAGTAGGTATTGTACAAACCCAATCAGCTCTCGAGGATTGCTGCTTTTTGCCATGGCTTGTAGCATTTTGCTTTTCTCTGCCTCCGTCTGCAAAGTATTATACATCTGGTGTAGGAATGTCCAGCCCTTGTCATCACGTGCTCCAGCAGTGTAGATCGTCATTGTGAGATCAGATGGTAAGCTGCAATAAGTTAAAATGATAAATGTACATATAGGCATTCACTTTAGAAAGGAATAAGGACATGGGAATGGATTAAGAATGAACATGGAAAAGAACAGGAACAGGTCAATAGATTTAGAGGCATGGTTTGAAGGTAGGAAAATCTGGAAGTGATTCTGGTAGTAATTATTTATTTTGCACCAACTGTACATAGCATATGTTGAGTACTATCTTAGTGAATGCACCTACAACGAAAGTATCGACAAAAACAGATGATGCAGATAGTGTTTAAACACAAAACAGTAGAATGCAAATAGAAATTGCTGGAGAAACTCAGCAAGTCTGGCAGTATCTGTGGAGGGAAATACAGTTGACATTTTGAGTTTGATAGGCCTTCTTAAGAACTGAGTTTTGAAGAGGAGTCATGTTGGACTCAACATTAACTTTGTTTTGCTCTCCGTAGACGCTGCCAGACCTGCTGAGTTTCTACAGACTTAGTTTTTATTTCAGCTTCCCACCATTTGCATGATTTTCCTTTTAAATCTTTGAACGCACCCTGAATGTGAATTTAAACAATCTATGTTTCTGTGTTTTTTTTCCCTTCCTCCATCTTCAGTTACAGGGGTTTGGCCTGAACAGAAATTCAGTGCCTAACATGTAGGCAGCTCGAAATGAATATTGTTAATGATTTCTAAAGGCTCCAGGCCATTTACTATGGCTGAACACTGCAAACTGACATTGTAGTGAAATTGCATTGCATGGGAGTTTCAAAAAGTTGAAAGAGTCTTCAAAAAACATGTACCCAGGCAAACCCAAGGTGCATGAGGTATATCTAGTTGCTTGGTTACTGAACTTTTAAAAATTGGTTGGAGTGGATGAAAGATTATCCCACAGCAGATAATGATGAAGTTGGACATTCCACAGGGAGAGATGTAAAGCAAGGAAGACAATTCAAGTCAAGGATATGCCATGAATTTTGGCTATTCCTTGATGGTACACAGTGTTGTGGTTATTTCAGATGTAGATGAAGATGAGCGAAGTCACTAGAAATGCAACAACACCCAGTAGCAAATGGACACTCAGGTCCCTCTTCATATCAGAGCTCTGCAATCTCTCAATATTTAAATAATGAGCTTTTATCTTTTAATGTTGGAAATTAAAGAAACAAAATGAGGACACAAAAAATATCAGCTGGTAATCATAGTGACTGGAACGATGTCAGCAGGTGGATCTCACAGAATATGAGTTCCCTGATTGGACCAGGTTAGTAGCCCCAATCAGGGAGTCCTGGCTGACAGATATAAACAGGAGTGTCACGGATCCTGCTCACTCTAAAAGCCAGCTCTGTGCTAGCTGGGTCAGTGCTATGTACAATGCATGTATAAATGAAGGGTAACTTGGTTATGGGATATCAGCCTTTGCGGATTTATTTCAGTAACATTACGGAAAAGCCAAAGATGTTCTATCAATACATTGAGAGCAAGAGGATGATTAAGAAAACAATTAGGACTGACAGTGATGTACACAGTAACTTGTACATGGATGCAGAAGGTGTTGCAGGGCTCTTAATGAGTAGGAGGACTGTTGCACCCTGTGGGAATAGGTACACCTACAGTGATGTTAGGATGGAATTGGAGAATATCGCATATTTCAGAAAGTTCAGCTCAGATATAATGGACTCAATGCCCTCATTCTGTGCTGTTACTATTCTAATTTTTCTCTTATAATATTTTATTGCATAATTCAGTGTTCAAAAATTTAATCTTAATCCTTAAATGAAAGACAGAAGCAATGCAACTAAAACTACATGTGCCATTCTATCCAAGGCAATGTGTAAGCCCAATACTCAGGCCAGCTCTAGTAATTACCATAAAACAATCGGAGAGGTCATTCAGACACAGCAACAGTAAAATAGGATTTTCAACCAAAACTTCACTATGAAATGTTTGTTGTTTAAAATGCACCTTGTGACAATAACAAACTTCTTATGAGAAAACCCATTGTCAACCAGGTTTAAGTATCAGTCAACAAGCTGCCAAGTTTTAAAAATTATTAGTGACTTGAAGCATCGTTTTAATTGAATGTAAGTGGGATAATGGGGAGAGTCAAGTGATCACTTATGGGACAGAACCAATTTAACATTTTTGAGTTTAGTATGGCTCTTATTCATTGTTCCGTAAAAGAATCAAACACAAGTCAAACATTAACTCTATTTCTCTCTCCATAGATGTTGCCAGACCTGCTGAGTATTTTCAGTACTTTAATGGGGGTGACAATGGGATGAATTTCTGTCCCTGAGATTTTGAAAAAAAACATACAAAGACAGAGATTAAGAGAGAGAGACAGACAGGCAGACAGACAGAGAGAGACAGATACTGAAAGAGAAAGATAGAGACAGAAAGAGACAAAGAGAGGGAGGGAGACAGACACGGGGTGGATAGAGACAGAGGGAAACAGGGAGAGAGAGAGAGATGGGGGAGACAGAGATAGAGACAGACAGAGACAGAGAGACAGAGAGAGAGGGGTCTCATAGGGAAACAAAGAATTGCAGCTAGAAGATTGTAACCTTTCCATGGGCTACAAGGCAGATTGCAGAATGAAAGAGTCTTTGTTCAAAGAGGTGCATCCCATAGCAATCGAAGAAATCCTAATTCATCCTGATGTGGCCAATGTGAGAAAGAATCATTAGAGTGAGTTTTACAGGTGGTAATAGGTTTGGGACTTCTCTGGAAACTAATGTCAGTGTCTTTTGCCAGGTACTGGATAACATGATTTTCTGAAACAAGGAGAAGAGAATGCACTGGAACCTGGAAATAATACTGGATTGGTTCCTGTAAGAACTGCAATCCTGTGCAGCGTAGATATTGGTGTGGAGTTTTCAACTGTGCTAAAAAATTAAAAGGAGATTTATTTTCTAAAGTTTCCATTAGGCTACCATCGAGTAACCTCAACTTAAAATAACGCTTGTTATGTAATGCCAAAGCAGCCACTTCTAAGGAAGCAATCCCAATTAAATAGGTTCCTAATTATGTAATACACAAAAATAACTTTAATAACCAAAAGATTCATGTAGGTTTGAATTTTTTTTTTGTATTCTTCACAAGCAAGTTATGGAGACCACCTTCTAGCTCACTGAATAGGATAACAGGTAAAAATGGAAAACTGATCAAAGGCAGAGGTCTAATCAGTAAAATTACATTCTTAGGCACAAAAAAACCATTTTCAATGGAAGCTTGACGATTTAAGGGCCATTATCTGTTATAGCTTTATCTACAAAACTTATAACAAATCAAAACAAATAAATTACCAACTTCAAGTACAGTCCCCATTACTTATAATGAATGTGTCGCAGTGCGGCGTAACAGGTACATGCTTTATGCGAGCATAAAATTCAGTTCTGTTCTGCATTTACTGAGGATGGTTCCGAACCCTGCACTGACAACTGATGGACCTATCAATTTTGTCGGATTAAACTCCCAGCATCATCATGTGTCTCTGGGATGACCAGTTAAAGGACCGAATGCATGCTCTCAACTGAATGCAGAGTTGGGATACCTCACTATGACTCTTTATTTTGCTCAGTTCAATCTGAATTAATTGGCCTCTTCCCAAAATTTAAAATGTGCTCAACTCAGCAAGATAACAAGAAGGTCTTGCAGCAGTGGTAAGAACTCCAGAGGCCACTGAAGCTTTAGTACTGGTTAAATAGCTGGCCTGCCGAGTATGGGTTAAGCAGCTCTATTGTGACTGATGCTTACACTAATGGTAGGTGACTCAATAGAGGTGACTGTCCAAGGAAAGCTGGGACAGTGGAAGCACTGGGCTCTGCACTTAAATAAAAGCATCACTGCAGAGAAGGGAGAATTATTAAAACCTGCACATTCCCTCTGTACCCTCCTATACTATATTACAATGGTTACACCTCAGAAATACTTTTCTATTGGCTACAAAGCAGTTTGTGACATCCTGAAGTTGTGCATGGTGCTAGATCAATGTGAGTTTTTGCCCATTATCTCTCTCCTTTTGGATTGTATTTTAAAGTATAGATGACCAACACGCATTCTGGTTATATGATTCCACGGAGGTTGTTTTTACATTATGAATAAATAGTATTTGTGAGGCACATTGAATAGAGTTATAGAGTTGTTACAGCATGGAAACAGCCCTTCAGTCCAACATGCCCATGCCAACCAGATATCCTAAACCAAAAAAAACCAAAAGAACTGCGGATGCTGTAAATCAGGAACAAAAACCAAGTTGCTGGAAAAGCTCAGCAGGTCTGGCAGCATTTGTGGAGCATTTCAGGTCCAGTGACCCTTCCTCAGAACTGTTCTTAGGAAGGGTCACTGGGCCCGAAACGTTAACTCTGTTTTCTCCTCCACAGATGCTGCCAGACCTGCTGAGCTTTTCCAGCAACTTTGTTTTTGTATCCTAAACCAATCTAGTCTCATTTGCCAGCATTTGGCCCATATCCCTCTAAGCCCTTCCTATTCATGTACCAGCCTCTACTTCTTCCTCCAGCAGCTCATCCCATATATGCACCCCCTCTACATGAAAAAATTGCCACTTAGGTTTTTGCTTAAATCTTTCTGCTTCCACTTTAAAACTATACCCTCTAGTTTTGAACTCTAATTCCCTGGGAAAAAGACCTTGGCTTTCACCTTATCCAAGCCCCTCATGATTTTATAAACCTCTTATAAGGTCATCCCTCAGTCTCTGATGCTCCAGGGAAAATAGCCCCAGCCTATTCAGCTTCGCCCTATAGCTCAACCCCTCCAACCCTGGTAATATCCTTGTAAATATTTTCTGAACCCTTTCAAGTTTCACAACATCTTTCCTATAGCATAGGTACAATCAAAGTGCCAATCAAAAACTTAGTACAAATATTACTTAAAAATCATTTGAGATCATAATTGAACCCATAGGCACTTCGACACTCAAAAAGGTAAAAACAGCAAGAAAATAATATTAGCGCCACTACTTACACACTCAGATTTTTGGAGCTCTCCCAACTGTTAAACAGGTCACTTGCATTTTGGACACAGGTGCCATAGCTGTAGTCACAAGCAACACTGAGAAGAGTGGCACGAAGTTGCCTTTCAGACAATGATCCGTTGTTACTCCAGATCTGATGATTAATCAGGTCTCCAAAAATCGTGAAAATATATTTCTGAAAAACATTTATGTAGAGTTTGGCAGTGGTGATTATGATGTTGTGAGATATGGCCAAATCCCACAACAATTCCAATTCTTTGAATAAATCAAGATCTGCAATACCTTCTGCTCTTCCTTCTTTTGATTTACCGACCAGATAAATACAAAACCATTCAAATGTTTAAAAATGTAAATAGGAAAATTAAGATGAAGGAAGGAATTTTGACAGAACAGGTATGAAACAAAATAGTAGCTATACAGAACTTGCTGCTCTAAAATAAATAAGCAAGAAAGCAAAAACAGCATGACACATAATGACACGATTGAGACAAGCAATTAAGTTATTGTCTTTACTTTTCAATGCTTCCTATTGTCTTCTTGCTATGATTTATTGCCCTTTGATTATGGTTTATGAAGCTACAGTACTGCGATAGGTAGAATACAATAGTTTCACAAAATTGGTCCAGATAAACACACTAGACACTATAGATAAAAATAATTACCTCCATTCGATCAGCAAGTTGCAGCATTCCCCTCTTTTGTACAAGCCAGTAGATACTGCGGAGTTGAAGCAATGCTTCAGATATTGGTGCATTACTGCTTTCATTCTTCATATACTTGGTTATGGACAATGCCTGCCGCACTGAAATTTTCCCTGTACTATGGGCAGTAAGAGAAAACACAGTAAGTAGTCAACTCTGCCCTTTAAAAATACATGCTTGGATTTCAATGTGGCATATAAAGCATGATTCACAGGCACAACAGCATTCGTACAACTAGAACAAAGAGGGAAACCATTCAGTCCATTCTGCCTGTGCTGATTCTTCAAAAGAATTATACAATTAATCTTATTCCCTGTTCTTTCAAAGCCTCACAAGGCTGTCTTTTTCAAGTTTATGTGCAATTCCCTTTTGAAAATTACTTCTGAATCTGCTTAAATTAGTCTCCTAGACAGCAAGTCCCAAATCATTACAAAACCAATCCTTTTGTCTTCAATTCATTCATGGTATGTGCGTATCATTGGCTGGACAAACATTTATGGCTCATCCCTAATTACATGAGGACAATTGACAGTCAACCACATTGCTGTGGGTCTGGACTCATATTAGGCCAGACCAGGTAAGGATTGCAGTTTCCTCCCCTAAAGGACATTAGTGTACCAGCTGAGCATTTCTTGATAATCAATAGTGGTTTCCTTAGACTCTTAACTACAAATTTTAATTGAATTCAAATTCCATCATCTGCCATGGTGGGATTCAAACCTAGGTCCTCAGATCATTAGCTGGGACTCTGAATTATTAGTCCAACGATAATACCACTTGGCCATTCCCTTCTCACCTCACTTGTTCCTTTTGTCAATTATCTTATTTCTGTGCTACTTGGTTCTGACCCACTCACGAGTAGAAGCTGCTTCTTTATGAAAAGTCTCTCATCATTTTTAAGACCTCTGTTAAATCCTCTCTTAACATCCTCCGGTCTTATTCCAGTTTCATGATCATCTCCCTCATCCCTGGTTTAATTCTGGTTGCATCTTCTCAAAGGCCACTCTTTCTAAAATGGTGTGTCCAGAATTGGACACAATTACCTATCTGAGGCCTAATCAGTGGCTTAGAAAGGTTTAGAATGACATTGAAATCCATATAAAAACAATGTAAAAACCCATGAATCCCATGACTCTATTTCTAAAACAATACTCTTTATGGAAATAAGTCTTCACAGTTGTAAATAAAAACTATGATTTGGTTGGTTGCTACTTGACCATTAAATGTTTTAGATCTCTGGGAATCTGAATTGCCTTTAGAACCAAAGAAGTAAGAATATTACAGGAGATCGACCAACAATGAAAGCAGAGTGCAAAGAAATTTAAGGGTAAATCTCATGTTTCTGCTTAGCCTGAAGCTCGGTCTTGCTAATACTAAGAAATCAAATATGAGGAGATTGCTCTCTAGACTATCTCCACTGTGGTCTGAGCCACCAAATAAACAGTCCCAGTACTGTTCCTGTTGGCAGCAATCAATGGTTTAGTCTCAAGCATTTAAAGCACAGAAAAAGGCCATTCAGCCCAAAAGGTCTATGCAGTTATTTCTGCTTCTTGAGCTTACTTCCACCTTTTGAGAACTTTAATAGAGTGCCATACAGAAAAAAGCTAATGCGTACACCCCAGAAAGCCTTGGTGCACTAGCAAGTCTGTGGATACTGTCAAAGCATACGAAGGGGTTTAACACCAACTCTGCACATTGTTTTGTGCACCATCCTTCCCAGTGTGGACATGGTGGTCAACTGGATTGTTGGAACACTTGTTGACCCAAAATTAGTGCAGCCACTGATGGGTACTGTCTTAGCTTCCATTCCAACAGAAGCAGAAGTAGCTGATGTCCCAGTACTGCAGTGGAATCGTAGACTGAAACTGTAATAAGGCCATATGAAGTAGGCCATTCAGCCCACCAAGTACTCTTCATCATTCAATGAGATTATACTGATCTGATAATCCTCAATAAAAACTGAAAGAACTGCGGATCCTGTAAATCAGGAACAAAAACAAAACTGCCAGAGAGGCTCAGCAGGTCTGGCAGCATCTGTGAAGGAAAAAAACAGAGTTAACGTTTCGGGTCCGGTGACCCTTCCTCAGAACAATAATCCTCAACTCCACTTTCATATCTTTTCCCTGTAACCCTTGATTTTCTTACTGATTAAAGATTTGTCTAACACAGCTTTAACTTATACTTACTAATCTAGCCTTACCAGCCCTCTATGGCAAACAATTCCACAGATTCGCAAACCTCTGAGATAAGACATTTCTCCTCATCTGTTTTAAGAGTGTGACTTCTTGTTCTGAGATTATTCCTTCAAATCCTAGATTTTCCAACAAAAGGAAACACCTTTTTGCATCTACCTTGTCAAGTGCCTGAAAAATCTTGTAGGTTTCAATAATGTCGCCTCTCATCGTCTAAATTTCAACGAATACAGGCCTAAGCACTGGAACCTCTCCTTCTAAGACAGTATCTCCATACCCAGTATCAGCCTAAGAACCTTATGTGGTCTACCTCTAATACCAGTTTAGCTTTCCTAAGATAAGGGGCCCAAAACTGTTCACAGTATTTCAGCTGTGGTCTGACTAGAGCTTCGTACAGTTTTAGCAAAACCTCACTACTTTAATATGAAAAAGAATATGCAGACAATTGCTACCCTGGGTATAGATTCAGTGTTCAAAGGCTCTTACAGGATGTGACAGTAGTCTAGTAATCCATCCTTGAACACACAGTGACTGCAAAGGGCCTACCTCAAAAGAACAGCAGGGGGTCCATGGATCCTCACCACACCCTTCTTCCTCCAAGCTCATCATCTCTATATTCTTCTTCTCCTCATGTTTATCTTAACTGAACCTAAAACACAGGTCTTCACCTCAACTGCTCCTAATGGCAGCAAGTTTACATTCTAACCACATTTTAGAAAAAAGTAGATTTTTCTAAATTTCCTTTAGATTTATAATTACCATCTTATGTTAATAGCCCTCAGTTCTGGTCTCACCTGTAAGTGGGAGCACCTTATCAATGTCTAGTCTTACAAACTCCTCCATAATGTTAAAGGCTTCACCTCTCAATTTTCTCATTCTATAGGAAAGAGAACCCGCCTGTACATTTTTTTTCTGGTAAGTATGACCCCTCCATTGAGCTACTAATATGGTCACCAGTTTTTGCACTTTCTCCAGTGCTTTTATTTCCTTTTTATAAAATGAGTATGAGAATTGTTCACATTGCACCAAATGTGGTCTAAGTAACAATCTACACAAGTTTAAATTCTATCCTTCTAGACATGAGCTAGAAACCAATACAGTCAATATATTTCTCAGCATACCTTGTCTAAAATAGCAATGATAGTGAGTAACATTTATTTGAAGCAGCATCAAAGACGTAGTTGTTATAATGTACTAAAAGTAAACAAATTCAAAAAACAGAATGATCTAAAACAACTAATTACCTTGCAAGTACAAATACATTATTAATGAAACCAGCTCGGTCCTGGTCACTGAGAGCTAAATGATTATTTTGTAATAATCCAAGTAATTCCATCAAGATATCTTCTTCATAATGTACGATGTAATAGCCATTCATATTAATGTTAAACTTCACCCAGGTCACATTCGGTTCTTTAAGGTCAATGATGTCTAATAGAAAATAAAATGCAAAAACACTTCCATGAAACTGTTAGATTGCTGTTAAAATTGGACACTGATAAGTGACACAATAATATTGCCTGATGAAATTAATTCAAATATACAAGGTAATACGGTTCTGCATAAAACCCATCAAAACCTCAACATGACGGCATTTTGGGCTACATACAGTTGCTCATCAGATAGTGTATTAAATGTATTTTGTGAGTAACTGAACTACACAGACTTGGTACACTTTTAGCCATATTGTTTGCTGGTATAATTAGCCCGGTGCCTTATTTCAGAGATTAGAAAATGGTTTGCATTTCCTAATCCTGAATGTTATCTAGCAACCTAGAGTAGAAAGTTAAATGTTTGAACATCAAGTGAGGGCAAGGCCAGCTGTGTGGCTAAATTTCTTAGTGACCACAGGGAAGGTGCACTGGATGACTGGAAGATGCTGGCATCTTAATAAATCAGTGTACTTTTGGTAGTGATGATGGTGAAGACTGAAATTGGAGAGAAAGGGGAACAAAAAAGACACCAATGTACAAATCTGATCATTGGGAGAAGCATTTCAGCATGTAAAAATGAAGGAATATAAAACAGTGTTACAAGCTTAAACGTAGCTCAAGTGGTTTACACCATTAAAAAACTATATTCAGTACATATTTTATATAGACACACATATTCCAAGGAAGTTTTATCATAATCCATATAAACCCTGACTTTCCCATTATTGTGGTCTTATTCTTCCTGGAGGGCAATTAACGTCTTCACTCCAAATCTCCATGGTGGAAGTGTACAATTCTAACATGCTTATATACAAACAGAGAATTGCATGCTGCTATTCAGGAATGTAACAAAGTGCCATGAAGATATCACAAATTGTGTTTAAATGTTAATTTCAGCACAAATTTATATATCTTATTAGATATTTACTTGCCATTTGAATAGAAATATAATAAGAAGAGGCTGAGGGCATTCATGTCAGTCAGTATTCACTAGTAGAAAATAACATTTCAGGAATAGTAGGCATATATGGAGAACAGAATACTGGCGAGTTAGGACAAAATGCCACTTAAATCAACTACATATGACTGATATTACAATGTTCTAACTAATTCAATTTTAAACACATTTGAGTTGAGCTACAGAGATAACAAGGTGTGGAGCTGGATGAACACAGCAGGCCAAGCAGCATCAGAGGAGCAGGAAGGCTGACGTTTCGGGCCTAGACCCTTCTGTTTGTTTAACAACGGTTATCTTCCACATTCAAAAGAAAGTAGAAAGACCTACTCCTATCAACAAAAAGAAACTGGTTGGTTGCTCGTACAGAACTTGAGTGTGGTGAAAAAAAGACACATTTTGTTGATGTTTTTCATCTTGCACTCAAGATAATTCATAAATACACCTATGAAGACAGAAACTAATATTTATACTGTATGTGAAGTATACTAATTGGTTAGCAAATAGACTCTGATTGGTGGAGGCTTTGTCATGGAGAATGTAGCAGTTAAAGACAATTGACAGTTAACTGCCAGATTTTGTTTAGATTTTAAATCATTCAGCAAAAAAATAGCTATCACCTATTTTGTTTAGCTAAAATACTTTGTGCATGCTCACATTCTTTCTGTCTATAAAGATGAATACATGTAACGTCCAGTACATATAAGTATATGTAAATGTTCCACACAGCGAGCCAGAGTGACAATCAAAAATTAGTTGTCAATGTAATTCTTCACACTGTCAGGATTACACAGCAAATGTTGTCTAATGTTCACCGGTGTTCTAAGTGAAAGAAGATTTAATTAGAATGTATAATTCCAAGTAATAACATTAAATACCAGGACTCTGTAGATAATTGAAAGTACAGTTTTAGGTCAGTCTCATATTCCTGCGTAATGCCTGTATGATGACTAACCACAGCTCTTATAAAACTCACCAAAAACCCATTCAAAACTGCTCAGCAGAGTTATCGTTTGCTTTATTTCTTGAAGTCAAAAACAATCACCTGTTTTGTTCTTGAGAAGCCATGTTTTGATACACTTGGGTTGGCCATAATTGCTGCAACTGCTGGTCATGTACGTCAATGGAATGTGCCACAGGTGACTGAGAAAAATCAAAACACAGCTTCAAATCAGTTTTACTTGGTTTAAAATTAATAAAGAGATCAGACTGGAAAAAAGCAACTGAAATCATTATGTCTCTAATGTAATAGTCATTCCTACACAAAAGCAAAACACAAAGAAGTTAACCATTACCACCTACTATTAAGATGATCCCAAAATCTTATGTATATTCAATTGTGTTACAAATTGTTACCTGTCAACTTAATAAGAAAGTAAAGTATTAACAGTTTTTTTAAAAAAGAACTCTTAACACTCCTTTATAACTAATGGTGCAGTGGCTAAGATATTTGCATGGATAGTAGACTGGTTTAATAACAGGAAACTGAGGCTGGACAAATGGATGATGTTCAGGTTGTTAGACTGTGACAAATTGAATACCACAGTGACCGGTGCTGGCCCCACATGAAAGGACTGAAAGCAAAATTGGTCATTTTGTTGAAGACACAAGATGGGCAGCAAAGTAAGTTGTGAAGAAGACATGAGGAATCTGAAAAGGGAAATGTGTATGTTAAGTCAGTGAACAAAACGTGGGAAAATGTAAACATGACTACTTCAGCAGGAAGATTAGAAAAGCAATATATTATTTCAATGGAATGAGATTTCAGAATTCTGAGGCACAAAGAATGTCATGGCACATGAAAATTTGGAAGCTAATGATAAGGAAGGCAAATACAGCTTCTCACGTAGCTCACCAATGATCAAACTTATTTAGTTAATCCACATCAAACTAAGATCTTTTTAGTGGATTGATCTGATCACATTCAAACACAGGTCCAGGAGTTATACAGAATAGTGCAGTGCTTTATTTATTTGCTACCAAACTTCCCTTTCTAACCTTCCAGATCAGCAGTCATGAGGAAGAGAGAACAAGGTGTAGAGCTGGATGAACACAGCAGGCCAAGCAGCATCAGAGGAGCAGGAAGGCTGACGTTTCGGGCTTAGACCCTTCTTCAGAAAAGTCATGAGGAAGACCTGTCATTGCAGATGTGGTTTATTTTGTCATGTTAATGATACTGAGAAGGGAGAGATCCTCCTTTCAAACACTGACAATGAAAAAAAAGCTGAGCTGCACACTGGTCAGTTTAGACCAGCAGTGGAATTAGAATCACCCTGAATAAAAGATTCTTACACAAACTCATGAGGACCTGAAGGGCAGGAGACAGATTTTGAATCTTCAGTTGTCACGGTAAACTTATTTTCAAGAATTGTACCAGTTGTACCTGGAATTGGGTGAGGATGATGGATCCTGTGAAATGGAGATCCTGAGGAAACGTTCTTGACTGAGGTGAATTTTATTACCAGTTTTGTCTAATTTAACAGTGACGACAGGGAGCCCTGTCTGCAGTGTCCAAGTTTTCATCATTTCTTTCACATTGAAATCTACATTTTTAACCTGTGGAATGAACAAATACAAATGTACTGAGAGATTAACTACAGCACCATGAGATCACTCAGTGAAAGATTAGTTAATTAGAGGCAGCATATAGTATCAATACTGTGAGAAATGTATTTACTAATTTAACTTATTGCTTGCACTAAGATCAGTTGCTGATGAAACAGCTGTAATTTGAGAAATGCAAATAAAAATTACTAACTAAATCAAGAAGGTAAATGAACAAAATGGGAGCCCTCAAGTTCCATATTCTGGATAACCAGAAAAGAGCACCATTTGGATAATGTTAATTTGATAAGCATTCTACAATTGAGAATGTATAATAATGCTAAAAAATCTTATAGATTCATAGTCAGAGAGTCGCAGAGTCAAATAGAATAGAAACTGACCCTCTAGTCTAACCAGTCCATGCTGATCATAATCTCAAACTAAACTAACCCCACCTGCCTGCTCCTGGCCCATAGCCTTCCAAACCTTTCCTATTCATGTACTTATCTAACAGGGAGAAGGTAGGTGGAACTAGTTTAATTTTATCACATCATGGCATCACAATGCATTCTCACTGATGTGGCTCGCTAAGTTTGTGGATGAATTATAAATTAAAAAGTCCAAACTGTTGTACAAGTACTTAAGAGTGACATCATTTCCAATCTTTAGCTTCTGTGCAGCCTTTATCTAATTCACAAAAGCTGCTTATATACTTTGCACTGATCATCTTAGCCCTATGGACCCCAATGAACAACCTGAAGGCAAAGTGAGATGCAAGACCCATGTTCTCCATTTCTTGTCCCTTATCATGCATTTCTTGCCGGAGAATGACTAATATTTATGGATCTGCCAGCACATTCAAACTACCAGACACTATGAGGGTCAACAGTCAACGCAGTAGACTCTTCCCTTCAGATGGACACATTATGTTAGTGACATAAACAAAAATGCATTTCCAACACGGTTTGCTAGAGACTGGTAGGGAATGGCAGCGTAACTGGGCAAATCCATCAACAAATGAGTATTGAACAATTGTAACTCTCCTGCTGCCACTGCAGTGATGGCTGGTTTTATTAATGGCACAAGCAAAATGGCATGCAGGAAATTCTATATTTTTCATTTGCAATTTTTCCATTAATTTTACATTAATGGGGGCGTTATGTAGTGTAGAACAGAAAGAGATTGAGGGAAGAGATGCACCTTAAACTCAAACAATTTATCTGGATCTGCTGAGCTGGTTAGCAGTTGAACTTTTATTAGACAATCATCTTAATGCAGTCTGATCCTCTTCAACATTCAATTAATATGTTAAATATAAGGAGAACGTATGAATCACAAAGCATTTACTCAAGACATGACAAAACATAACACTACTCCTACTTCTCCCTACACATGGTTGGTACAGTGACTATTTTCTGAAGTACTGAAGGTGGGTGAAATTAGAATATTCAAGAACAGAACAACTTTCACATACTCTACAAAAACGTTGAACAAAATTCTAGTTTTGATTGGATAGATGGTCAAAAATAGAATGGCAGCCTACCCTCTCACCCTAAGGGCCATTTAAACATATGATCTTATGGCAGACGTAAGCCATTTGGCCCCTTTAGCCTCTGCTGTTCAATAAGAGTAAAGTGGATCTGATGTGGCCTCGGCTCCACTTTCTGCCTGTCCCGATATCCAACTGTGTCTCTTGTTAGTGAAGAATCATGCAAGTTATTGGTACTTTTACCTAGTACCACATTTCTGTGACTGGACAGAGAGGGCGCTCCGTTTGTCATCTGTCAGGTGAGATATTGAAGAGAGATTCTGTCTGTCCACGAAGATTCAACTGCACCATCCAAAGTGAAGCAAAAGAGATATCCTTCATGCCCTATGTGCCATTTAATCCTCAATTATCGGCAAAGGAGCTGGATTGGTTGTGTGGCCTTGGTGTGAAAAATATTGGTGGCTATATTGGAGCCATTTCTAACAATCAACAAGATATTATTACCTTTACATGAAAACTTTCGATATTGTCCAAGGATGTGAACGGCACTACATAAATGTAACTTATTCAGTCCGCTATTGAGAAAATACTGGAGTATTTGATCTTGTAAATTAATTCGATTATCACATCTTATTTATTTTCTCATCACCCTCAATCATTACAGATTGTATTTAATCCTGACCACAACATTATAATCTCCAATTTGAAAAAAATATCTTTTTGTTTTATTAAACTCTGCAGCAAACACCATGAACAATCATTTGCAAATGTGGTTTAACTCCTAGCTGCAATCATTTAAATCCTCTACATGTAATTATTAAACATTGTCCCAGAATCTCAAGGTGTGTTTCAACAACAAGATTTTCTCTCCTCACCCAAACAGTTTTTTCCCCATAATTTGTGCAAATACAAAATGATAGCGGGGGATCCGAAATCTTCAAGAACAGAAATGCATACTCTTAATCAATAAGATTCAAGGTTTCAGAAATAAAGAACAGGACGGTAAATTAGAAAGGATAAATATGTCAAATCAAGTACAGGAAGAAAAAGAAAGAGAAAGAAAGAAATGCCGTATTAAGCAAGCAAAAAGAATTGGACACAAAACAAAGTCCTGTTCTACATCTAATTTTAAAATTTTGGAAATCTATAATAAGTTACATTTATATGATGCTATTAATATTGTTAAACCACCCATGCCACCTCATAACTAATACCAAATATTTAAAAAGAGTTATTACAACAGCCAGTCCAAAACTCAGTCACAGAGATAGGATTCAAGGACCAGCTTAAAGGGGGAAGGAGTAGATAGATTTCCAATGTGTAGGAAGAGAATTCTAGATCTTCGGGCCTACACAGCTGAAGGTGCACCAGCAAGCTGTTGTACGAGGGAATGAAAGAGCAATAGAAATAAGAAATCCACAAGAAACCTGAATTAGAAGAGCCACAAAATAGTTTAGCAGGGATGTGGGAGGTAATATAGATGGGGAGCATAGGGTATCATAGGGTATTGAGAATTTTAAAATCCAGGCATTAATAGGCTAGAAGGCAAAGTAGCCCAGGAAGCAAAGTGGCGATGGGTGTATGGTTCTTAGAAAACCGGCTAAAATGTTTTAGATGAGCACAAATTCATATGGGGTAGAAGCTGGGGAACCAGCCTAAAAGAACCAAATGAACAGGTAACTAAGGCATAGTTAAGGAGTCCAGCGGCAGATAAGCCAAGAGGGGACAGGTCAAGGGGTGTTTTAGAGATGGGAGTAGACATTCTTAGAGTAGTCAGACAAACGGTCAAATATTTATCATCAACAAATTAACAGGAACAAAACTCCATATTTCATATTATTCCTTTTTCTGGACCATACAGTGTGATTGGAATGGCAGGAATATACATTTCATTAAAATGTACTTATGTTGTCGTGAAACAAAACTAATTTTCAGCAGTGAGTTTAAGAAACAATTCCATAAAACTCACTGAGGAGGTTAAGGCAAGCTGACGTTTTATCAAGGGTAACATCAGCAACATCAATTGTCCAGATTTGCAAATTAGTTGATTTGTAATTTGTTCAGTATACCCTACAAGGTGCACAACATAAAACATTAATAATGGTGAGGGCCCCTGATTGCACCACTACTTTGGCAGCAAATTCTGGGCTATTCTTCCATATGAATATCTACTACTGCATCTAAAAAGATCAAAATAGTTATTCCGGATTTACAATAAGCATTAAGATTACAACACATACTTTCATAATACTGTTCCACAAGTCTTCATTTTTTGTGTTCTGATACTTATGTTCATTTAAGTATCTCATAATTCCTTGCTGGAAAACTGTTTCACCAAGATAGTCCTTCAACATCAAAAGGATGGAAGCCCCCTGAAGGAGAGGAGAGAAAATTGTTAATTTTGAAAGTCTTTTTTGAAATGCAACTTGTTTTTAGCCTGTATTATTTGGATTTTTCAGATAGTCACCATTTTCTCCTGCACTGAATGTACAAATATCTTCAATTATGGGGGCCTTGTAGACACATACATTTCTGCTCTTCTAAAAGAGATGTCACAACTGACAGCAAGAAAAAAAAAAATAAAATCAATCCTGAAAATCAGTTGTAGAATTAATTACCACTTTCCTAAGCAATGTAAATCAGCCAGCTGCAGTTTTAAATGCTTCTCGATGTAAGGACAGTCAGCAATAGCATTGACCCAGGTCTTAGAATAAATGGCAAAGTAGAAACACAGATTCGTAACAGTGCCCAAAACCACATTCTTACCTTTTTCCTAGTCTGCAGCAGAAACGTGCTCATCCAACTGCACAGTAGATGTATCAGTGAGTTAAGTTGGGAGGCTGAGCTGTTAGGCACAATTCCAATGAGGTCATGTACCTTTTGACTTCACAGGTTGAAGACACACCCCTTGCGGTAAGCCTTCACCTTCATGATGGATAAGTGTTTCCAATTATTTTAAATATTTTCTCATTCTACTTTTAATTCTATCCCACACCCACCCATCATATCCTCTCACTCTCTTCCAAGGGAATTAGGGGCAATAGCTGGTGGAACACAGCTGCTGGAATGGACTTTAACTTCACAAATAAGCAGAAACAGAAGCACTGCCTCCGCCCAAAAAAACCGCTATGGCATGGTAACACAACATTAGCATTCCACAGGAAGGATAAGGAGATATAAACAGATCATTGTACTACGGTGCAAAATCAAGACCGTGGAGGCCTGCAGCTTTAAGACAGTAACATGACATCACAAAATGTGATATTCCGATATAAAAGGTACCACCTTGCCTTCAGTCCCTCTCTCTATATAATCTGCAGTGTCTTCAGTCAGTCAACTGTCTATACATAATGTAGAGTTACAGCAGTAAGCACAGAACGCAGACTGTGTACCCAAGTCTGTGACATTGTGGTAGTAGTGTAGAGAGTTAGTGTTGCTGATCTTCAAGACATCTGTCTCAAAAAGAACCTGACTTTCTGACATTATGCTATGTGGACCACTGCGTAGAAAACCACTACGCGCATAATGGTGGCAGTATGTGGACACTGAGACTGAAAAGGTGAATGCAGCATGACAGTTGCAAAAGGTCTTTTCCTCTCTGTCTGAGTTCAGAGCTGAAATTACAAGCCACAACAAGAGACTAAAATGGTAAAACCAAATTTACAGATATAAATCTGTATGAAAGCAGAGTGGGTACTTAACTACTCTTTCGCTTTAAAAAAAGGTAGTTTGAAAGTGAAACACTGCCTTCATCTAAGAAACCTGCAAAGATGCACCAAGAAGCTGCTGTCATCAGAATATTTTGAGCGGAGGCTACTCTGGAGTGGTGCTGGGTGATGTGGTGGGACTACTGAGCAGTGCAGAAATGTTTTGAAAGTCATTAGCTTAAGTGTCCTCTTCAGTGCTACTAATGCAGGACTTTACAAGACTTTGCTTGTGTTTTTAAAATTATTCCTTTAAAAAGATGAAACCTATTACTCTGGTTACAGGGATACATTGGCCAACACTGAAGGTCTACCTGGAGATAGAAACCCTAACCTTCCAGATCTGGACCTATCTTCAAGAAAATGCAAAATCAATTGAGAGATTTTACATATTAACATTGAAAAAGGGACAGCTGCTTTGTAGAAAGAGAGAGATACAGAGAAAGAGACGAAATAAGCAATAGAGATAAACAGATAAAGAAAGGAATCACTGCTTGTTGAGAGATAGTAGCTCTTACTGTGAAGAACAGGATGAGCTGTTTTTGTGTTAACATCTATGCAAAATGCTGGGAAAAGCTGATTTTGTTTTTGACAGTAAAGGAACAGATGGGTACTTCTGAATATTTAAGGAATAAGGCTGTGCTATTCTGCGTCTTGCTAGTGAGGTTAATTCTGGAATATTCTGACTGAACGGAATGATACTTGAAAGACATTCAACGATTTGACCCAATAAGTCAGGGAGAGGTGAGCCTTCTGAAAAGCTACCATTTAGTCATAGATTTCTACAGCACAGAAAAAAATTGGGGTCTTAATCTTATATTGCTGCACAGATGTGGAAACATGGCATAAAGTAAAAAGCTTGTTTCAGTTGCATTAGATCATGTTGATTTTAGTTTGCTAGCTATAGTAAAATACAAAATCTTGTCCTGCAATTTGTCCCATTTGCCACTGGAAAAATAATCTCTTTTCAATGAGTTATTCATCTTAATAGTCACTGTAACAGTGGATAGAAGCCACAGTCCACAAACCTAAGTACAGAATCTAGTCTAGCACTTTGGTGCATTATCAGAAAATGGTTCTGTCTGCCTTCAAATGCACTGGCTGAGAAATGCTACATTTGCAAGAGGGGGCGTCCATGCAGACATGATTAGATTTACTGTATTTTCATAAGTTGCTGTGAAAATACAATTTGTATATTAAAATACCCAACTAATATATTGTTGGTGAAAAAACTGCCAATTTGCATGAGCTGCAGAAATAATGTCAGAGTTGCTCAGAATTAATTGCAACTACTTTATATATTTATGGGAGAAAAACTTGACTAAAGGGTGCTACTGTCTAACAACCAGGCATCTTTAAAAATGCTTTCATAATTATGAGGTTTATAGAGTCCTATATGAATTGAAAGAATATATCTATATATAATTAATCGAAAAGTACTGTTCAATGCCCACTTCTTGAAGGTGGATGCATAAGGACCTACAGTCATACAGCATGAAACAGACACTTCAGTCCAACCAGTCCATGCCGAAAATAATCCCTAACTAAACTAGTCCCACCAGTCTGCTCCTGGTCCATATCCTTCCAAACCTTTCCTATTCATGTACTTATCCAAATGTCTCTTAAATGTTGTATTCGTACCCACATCCACCACTTCCTCAGGAAGTTCATTCCACATGCGAACCACCCTGTGTATAAAATATTTGACTCTCATGTCTTTTTTAAATCTCTCTCCTCTCGCCTTAAAAATGTGCCCACTAGTCTTGAAATCCCCATCCTAGGGAAAAGACAACTAACATTAACTCTATCTATACATCTCATTATTTTATAAGCTTCTATAAGGTCACCTCTCAATCTCCTACGGTCCAGTGAAAAAAGCCTATCCAGCCTTTCCCTATAACTCAAACCCTCCATACCCAGCAACATCCTGGTAAATCTCTTCTAAACCCTCTCCAGCTTAATAATAACCTTCCTTTAGTATGTCAAAGTCCTCCACTATTTACTAATAATCCTTCGCCAAGAAAATGTGTAACAAGACTAATCAGAAAAGATATTTAAGGGCAACTGACTGCACCCAGAAAACTATTGATTAGCAAATGTCGGCACCTCTAACAAGAGGAAAAGAGAGAAAATTGGGTGAGGAAGAAGTAGGAGCTTAAAATTTATTTTATTTTCTGCCTTTCTGCCATTGCCAGTGTTTATGAATAAGGTGATCTGGACTTGTAGATGTAAGGATACCCACAGTGGGAGGAGAGGGAAAAAAAATAAAAGATCACATTTCCTCACTACAGCAGGCAGGCATCCTGCTGACCTTTCAATTCCATCAAAGGGGGATTTTACCTTTCACACTTACCAACACTGCAACTGCTCTGGGGAATTAAAAGGTCGGTCATGATGTAGAAACTTGAACAGAGCAGAGCTTTTGCATTCATTAATGGTGAAATGCAAAACAAACCCTTCAACAATTATTAACATCAACAAGAACAAACTTTTAAAGCTCTATCTATTGTTCCCAGTAGATGGCAGCGATTCCAATCTGTGCAGCCTAAGGTTGTAATCTGAGCTCAAGAACACTTTGCATGGTTTGAAAAGGTTTTTTCAAACAAAAATGCACTGGACCAGAGATGAACTGGAGAGATGTAATGATTTATAAATATATCAAACTACAACTTAACAAGCCATGCCAATTTGTAATTTCTTTGGCTATATCCAAACATGACGGATCTACATGGGATAAAACATCATTGTTCCAGACCATGCGTGTGAGTGATCAATTAACATTAATTTGGCTCTTTAACCAGCTATCCCAATAAGCCTGAGAGGCATTCAGTTCAACATCTCATTTTAAACTCAGAAATAATGGTGCTTTCCAAGAGTTGATCTCAGTTGAACGTAGCCACAACAATAATAGAATGAGCCAGCAACAAGTGCAAGAGGATTCACAACTGACATTAGACCAATTATAAGTGTTGTTTAGGTGTCAATGCATTTCAAGTAGTGTGTTTTAAGGATAACGTTAACCTTGGAGACAGATCTAGCAATTAATGCCTCAAACCACTAAAGATTAAGTGTGGGAACCTTCATTAGGTTCCAAATTGTAGATGAATGACTACTTTCTCTTTCGGAAAGTTTGGCTGAATCTATAAAAAACACTCGTCAGACCACAGCTGGAATACTGTGAACAGCTTTGGTCTCCTTATCAATGGAAAAATGTACTGACATTGGAGGAAATTTAGAAAAGGTTCACCAAGTTGATCTAGTATATGGAGTGACTGTCTTATCAGGAAAGGTTGAGTAGTTTGGGTTTGTACGCATTGGAGTTTAGAAGAATGAGAGGTTACCTGATTGAAACATGCAAGATTCTTAGGGGACTTGACTGGATAGATACAGAGAGGTTATTTCCCTGTGGGAGAGTCTAGGAGTGGAGGGCATAATCTCACTGTAAGAGGTCACCCATTTAAGATACAGGTGTTGAGGAATTCTTCTCTCAGAGGGTACTGAATTTGTAGAATCATTTACAGTAGAGAGTTGTTGAAGCTGGATTGTTAAATATATCCAAGTCAAAGGAACCAAGTGGTATGGGAAAAAGACAGGAAAGTGGAACTGAGGATTATCAGGTCCCAATCAGCTATGATCTCATTGAATGGCAAAGCACTCGAAGGGCTGAATGGCTCCTATGTTTTAGGGTCAAGTGCAAACCTTCACTGGGATATGACAAGAAATTCTCAGCTGCTCTTTAATATTACTCGGGATCTTCTACACCCTGAATGGAAAGAAAGGGCCTCAGTCTCATTTTTCACACGAGACAATGCAATATTCCTTCGTACTACATTCACGTATCAAGCAGGAAAATGTGCATTGTATGAAGTAGCCTTGGTATTGGGCTTAAACTTACAACCTTTTGTCCCAAAGATGAAAGTACTGCTATTGATTAAGATAAAGGCTACAAGCAAGGATGCAAAAACCTGTTGAGATGAGGCGTGCACAAAAGTTGAGATGTCAAGGCTGCAAAAGAATTTGAAAATCAGAAAAAGAATTTTAAAATTGATGCATTGCTGAATAGGGTGCCAGCTGCCAGGCTAAGCTGATTGGTATGATTGTCTGAGTGCACACAGCAGACAGCTGGATGAAGTTTAATCCATTTCAATGAGCCCAAGACACCAGCATTAGGTAAGACTTATTGCAAGAGTACAAAGGTGACAAACAGCTATTTAATAGCTCCAGGTGCACTGTTTGAGCCAAAAATCCAAGGATAAGGTACTTTAAAGAGCAGATCTGAAAAGTTTTGGAAAGCAAGGAGGACAGAGATTAAAGAGATAAAGATAAACAAAGAGAGATTGTTTTTACTTTTTGTTGCTCAGAGTTAATGCCACATAGAAACCCTCATATTTAAGATTCTCCAATTCTATTTAGCAATTTAACTTAGCAACAAGCTATTGGATATTTTTGTTTGCCCAATTTGGAATACAGTTTTTCACGTCTTCAGATGAAACAACCGATTTACCCAAGTCCAGAGAGCTTAACCACAGGCTGATGGAGCCTACTTTTCAGAGGCATACTATTGATGCTGCTTTGTGTTGCTTGTTGAGCTCTGACATCCTGCTCATCAGGTACTGCTTCCTTGGATATCTGGAATCAGACTGGAACCATTCCAAGTCAAATGACAGGGCTACCCCTCTAAATAGCTGGAACAAGGATGTGGGGCTCACATCAGAAATGCACTTCAAAACAAGGTTACTTAACTGGGGTTAATTCAAGTGCTCATCTGAAAACATGGACAACTGAAAGTTGATAATGGAGTTGTGGATTGCTTTCTAATCATCTTTCCTGCCTGTGGAGAAGTTTTGCTTCCACTTCCACTGAATATCCAGCCACAATAGGGTAAATCACATGTACACATGCATATGGACAGTTATGGAATTAGAACTAATATCATCAGTAGGCAAACCCACATTTATGTGCAACATAAATAATGATTTTTTAAAAATATAGTCTTTACAGATGTACCTTTTCATATGAAATTGAATCAAACATTTCCTCAATTTGTTCAGCAGTTTCAACTGGAGTAGAGACAGGATGGGAGGAATTCACTGAGTCCTTTTCCATTGCTTCAAATCGAGTACGTAAAAAGTGATCAGCCTACAAACAAATCACAAAAATAAAAAGGGATCTATTGTCTCTGCAACTAGTTGTTATTCTGCACATAATGACTGCAAGTGATATACTGAATCATTCATTTGAAAATCGGACAATATAGTATATCACACAACTTATATTTATAGTGTGCCTTTATCATAATGAAACATCCCAAAAGTTCTTCACAGGAGCATTCAAAAACGAAGTATGACAAGCCACATAAAATGCTATCAGGTCAGATGACAAAGACTTGTTCAGATAGATAAGTTTCAAGGAGTATTTTAAAGGCATAAGGTCAGGTACACACTGTGTACACGCACTAGAAATCAAACCCTGCTATTCCGGAATAGTCACAGAAGTAAAGATTTTTAAAAGTATGCAAAGATTCTATCAAAGATTCTGTCAACCTCTGCTCATTTTGGTTGTGTGTGTGTGGTGGTGGTTTCATAGATGTGTTCCTTATCACTGTTAATCGTATTCAGGAAACTCCAATGGAATACACCTACCAGTGAACAAACCTGTGGATCAGATTAATTTAATGGGAAAGTGAGGTCGTGTTGGAAAGACTGAGTTTACGTCTTATGCCACGTTTATGCAAGTGATGAGTGTGTTTGTGGTTGTACAAGACATACTTTTGTTGCACAGATGATTTACAGTTAAATATTTCATTTTATTTGAAGGATAACTTGTGTTTGCAAATGGTATTACTGGAAAAGATCACATATTTCCTTCAATACTTCTCTCTGTATTTTGAGAGCAAATTGTGGGAGTTGTGGAATATTTCTATGTTTGGTATCTGGTTCGTGGTGACTATACAGAGAAATGTGAGTAGGTAGATCAGCAATTTGACCAGTGTGCTGTGACAAGCTGATATTTCCAACAAAAAGCTACAAAGGATTATCAATCACCACTTATTTTCACAACCAATCATATGTACATAGGATTTTCCTCAATGGCACACTGATATAAGCAGTATAGCTGTACAAACTATCTGCTTCCTAACCGAATAGTCAAAAGCTCGATTCTAGCAGTTTTTTGCTGCTCAGCTACACTAACACATTTGAGAGGATTTACTTAACTTTTAACGATAGGAAACAACAAATATTGGAATGCAGAAGTACACTATTTGCCTCCTTTAGCTTTAATATACACTACTCCAGTTCTATGCATAAACTATAGTTATTAGGATTAAACATGAGTTTCAGAAAGACTCCTTCCCTGTTCGTGCTATGAACAATGCTTTCAAGATGAAACACAAATTAAAAATTATTTTACTTACCACTTCGAGTTCAGGGAATATTTTTTCAAGTGAAAAGAATTCCATAAAGGTGGCAAATCCTTCATTTAACCAAAGGTCATTCCACCATTCCATAGTCACCAGGTTGCCAAACCACTGAGAAAAATAAATTCAGGAAATATAGCAATTTTACACTTACTTTAATGCCAATCTACAATAAAACACATCATGAACAATTTCTGAAGAAGGGTCTAGACCTGAAACGTCAGCTTTCCTGCTCCTCTGATGCTGCTTGACCTGCTGTGTTCATCCAGCTCTATACCTTGTTATCTCAGATTCTCCAGCATCTGCAGTTCCTACTATCTCATGAACAATCCCTTAAATAGGTTATGCAACTGAAAGCTGGCAAGCTCCCTAGCTATTGAACAATGGTCTCCTATGTCTTCTAAATGGAAAAGAACATTATTAAACTTTTAAGTCCTTTTTTAAATAAAATTACTTAGTAAAACATAAAAAGAAGTGCAGATTGCAGACATTGAGAAATGTGAGTTAAAGTCAGATAAGCCAGTTTGGAGAATCTCACAACTCAATCCAAACTTCTGTAAGAATCGCTGATCTCCACCCAGAATTAATTAACCAACATCACAGATATTAAGCAGTTAGTCATCTTGTCACACTGGCTAACAAACACAAGTGATGTCCATTCTTGTGAAGATTGTTCTCTAAATATGTCTGCAAAGAATGTATTCTGCAAACAAAATAGCAACTTGACGTGGTCACCCTGCAAAAAAACAAGCTGACAAGAACATGGCCTTGTTGTTCCCAGTGATCAGAATTTAAAAAAAGAAGAAATTTCTGGTCCAGAGGTGATGGGTTCTAACAAAGGACTCCCACAACTTTTAGCCTGGAGCTGGAAGGTAAAATTGCTGGGGATCAGGTTTTACAGACAGGAGTTGTCTAGAACAAAGGAATGCTGATATGCAAGTCAGCCCACAAAAAGGGACAGGACGTGCAAGTTGTCTGAAAAAAAATGAGCTTAATATTCATACTTATTAATCTTGTCTAACCAAACATTTATAACTCTGACTTAAATGCTGGAGGAGCACATAAGAGACACGGTAACACATTTTCACAGTTAGATCATATTGTTACATCGCTAGGTAATACTCTTGGTAGCTAGATATTGGGGCAGTATGGACACACTCCTGAATGTAAGACATTCAGACTGGTTGATGGACGAAGTGCGGAACTCAGACAATATCTAAAACAGCCATAAAACCCAGTACAGCTAGTTTCAGTGCTTGTGATGCACAGTTTTCATGCAGGTGACTGTGAAATTGCTACTTGTTCTGCAGCATTCTAGAAGGACAAAACTGCAGCACATGTTGACAAGATATTGGGCTGTTGCACATCCTTCAAAACCTCTTTCTGTCTCCGAAGCTGGAATAAAGACTTTTGGCTTATTCATTTGTTTATGCTCAGAAAGCATGTGCCTGGTAACTGAACACCTCAGTTACGACTAGAGGCAGCTGCTTCCTGTCCCATATTTGTGATCTCCATCCTCCCTTCTTGCTCACTTTAATCAATACATCAGTAAGCACTGAAGATCCAATTTCATCAAGGGAAAGAGGAAGATCATGTCAGGCTGAAGAGGCAGGGAAAACCATTAGCCATTTTTGTTCCATTTAAATAAGTTAGACCCTACCACACCAAATCCAGCATAAACGAAGTACCCACCTTCACAGGAGGAACTCACTGCTCTAGACCAGCATTTTTGTTTCCTTATTTCAAGGGGGTTGGAGTGTAAGAGTAGGGAAATCTTGCTGCAACTGTACAAGGTGCTGGTGAGACCATATCTGGAGTAATTTGAGCAGTTTTGGTCCCCTTATTGAAGGAAACATATTTCACTGGAGGCAGTTCAGAGAAGGTTCACTAGGATCCCCAGTATGCAGGGATGGTCTTATGAACACCAATATCCCAGCAGGGAGGTTAGCTAGCACCACTCGGGGGCATTTAAACTAGTGGGGCAGGGGAGTTGGGAACCAGACCAGTAGGTCAGCAAGTGAAATGACTGATAAGGAGTCAGAGGCTAAGGCCACTAAGACTAAGAGGAAGAACAAACAGGGAGAGGTTACTGAACATGGTGGGACTGGCGGTCTAAGGTGTATTTTTTAAATACAAGGAGTATGACAGGTAAGGCAGATGAGCTTACAGCTTGGATTAATACATATAACTACGATGTCTTAGCTGTTAAAAAGATTTGGCTAAAAGAGGGACAAGACTGGGAGCTTAGCACGCTGAGATTTAGATATTTCAGGCAAGATAGAGAATGATGTAAAAGAAGTGGGGGAGTTACTGGGAGAATATCACAGCAGTACTGAGGGAGGACACCTTGGAGGGCTCATCCAGCAAGGTCATATGGTAGAGCTCAGGAACAGGAAGTGGTCAATTACTTTGATGGGATTGTACTAGAGGCTTTCCAACAACCAGTGGGGCAACAGAGGAACAGATATGTGGACAGATTGTGGAAAAATGTCAAAACAACAGGATTATTATTGTGGTGAGTGATTTTAACTTTCCCTATGTAGACAGGGCCTCGCTTCGTGCCAGGGACTTGGATTGGTAGAGGGGAGACAGAGCTTTTCCGGTGCGTCCAGGAAGGTTTTTTGGAACAAAACGTAAATAGTCCAACTAGGGAAGGGGCTACACTAAACTTGATATTAGGGAATGAGCCCTGCCAGGTGATTGAAGTTTCAGTGGGGAAACATTTTGGGAACAGTGACAACAATTCTGTATATCAGAGTTTATGCAAGCAAAAAGCACCTGCAAAAGTTTAAGTTGCCATTTTATTTTCACAAAACTATTATATTTTGGACAATATTTTCCTTAAAGAGTGAATCTTGACTTCATTTCATGTACACTTAATACTTTAGAAATGCAATATTCAATACACTGAAAATTTCCTCTGATCTTTAGTTCCCAACACTCAAATGTCAGTGGTTAAAAGCAGCTTTTGATGTAAATGTCTCCCACTTACTGAGCATGGCAGCAAGAATGCAGAGATCAAAAGACTTATTTCAGCTCCCATACAATGTAACACTGTTGCTTGAGATTGTGTTAAAAGTGCACTACCTCTACACCACTCTAAGTATTGTTATCCCTTTAAGAGTCAACCAGGCTTTCAGAATATATTGTAATCATTCAATATATTTTCCAGAATGGAAAACTTTATTCTCTGTTTAAGCTAGCAACAGGGGAGATTTTCCAGACATTTCTCCCTCCATTTGTTCTTCCTCTCAATTTACAGTTTAGCTAAAAGGAACAACCCTTTCACAGAGGCCTTTTGGAATTTTATTGAATTCTCCCCTACCTCAACCAACAGCACAAAAACAGAATATCTAGTCATTTTTGTATTGTTGTCTGTAGGGCATGTTTTACGGAAATTGATTGCTATGTTTCCTACATTGCAACAGATTCCACACCTAAAAAGTAGTTTATTTACTAAAGATGTTTGATGGTTGTGGAAGGTGCTATATAAATGGAAATCTTTTGTTTCCTTTAGCAATGACAAGTGGTACCTGTTGCTGTGTAAAAGGTTGACAATTAACTGCTACTTAACTAAAATGATTTGCTTTTGTGCTAGCTGACCCTGTACTTCATGTCAAAAGGCTTTGTTACAAGCTACAAAAAGAACAATAAGGAGATAGCAAGGACTGCAGATGCTGAAGTCAGAGTCAATACAGTGTGGAGCTGGAGTTTCACAGCAGGTCAGGCAGCATCAGAGGAGGAGGAAAGTTGACATTTCGGGTCAGGAGTTCTGAAGAAGGATCCTGACTTGAAACATCGACTTTCCTGCTCCTCTGATGCTGCCTAACCTGCTGTGTTCCTCCAGCTCCACACGGTGTTGAAAAAAAATTAACATGTTATTGACAGTAATACGGGGCACACCGTGAATAGATTACAAGGATGCAAGTTCCAAACACTGCTCAATCCAGACTCACAAACAATTTGTCCAGGGCGATAAAGGCAAAATACAATGAAACATACAAAGTTGTTCACTCAGGCACATAACTAGCATTCAATGGAGACAGAAAGGACTGCAGATGCTGGAAGCTGTCTGACCTGCTGTGCTTTTCCAGCTCCACGTTTTTTGACTAGCATTCATTGGTAAACATTACTGAGCAGCTCAACTAGACACCTCCACAGGTCAGGGGAACGAAAGACCAAAGGGACACCCAATTCTTGGAATAATGTCAAAAAGGAAACAAATGTTTATGCAAATCAAGATTACTTTCAATGTTGTATTCTTGCAAAAACACTGTAATAACAGTTCTCCCAAGACAGTGTCTGAATTAGATCAAGACTACAGTAGGTTGTTGCAAGATTTCAACTAAAGATTGTATGCTCCAGAGAGCCACAAGCTGAACATCCGCAGGAAATAAGAAAACGTAATCTGCCAGACAATGAGGCTTCCTGGCAGCTTGGAAAGTGTGCTGTTTACATCAAATCTAATTAATGTCACAAATCAGTGATCTTCTTTAGACATCATGATTCAATTTGTCAGTAACTTTTCCTGTTTAATGAAACAGACGTATTTTTGAAAGAAAAAAGAGTGTGCCTGTGGTGTACCACAACTTAAGGACAAAGTATGAAATTTAAAACATCATACTTGGAAACTGAAATCAAATGCTTGATGATCTTTAGCAAAGGATCATATCTACCGGTACAATACGCTCCAGACAGACACCTTATCATGTAAAGCAAAGTGAACCACAATATCCAACAGTGAAACAGATTTACTGCGAGATGTCAAAAACATATTGTTATGGTGCCTGATCAATTTTTACAGCCAAATTCTATACTGAATTGTTGAGTTTTGTACCATTTTATTAAAATTGCACTTTTTTTGTTATTTTTATGCACTGCATATCATGTTGAGGTCCTTCATGATCTCACTTCTTGCCCATTTTTGGAACTTTCTTTAGCCCTACAAAGCATGCACAATTATTTATTCTTCTGATCCAAAAGACCGTAGGAGGAGAAAGAAGATATTCAGCTTATCAGGTCTGCTCTGCCATTCAATGAGATCATGGCTGATTGATATTCCTCCCCTCCACTTTTCTGCCTTTTCCCCATAACCCCTGAATCCCTCACTGATTAAAATCTGTCAACCTCAGCCCTGAGTATTCTTATTGACCCAGTCTCAACAGTGCTTTGTGGTAAAAAAATTCCACAGATTCACCACCCTCAGATAAAATTTCCTCCTCATCTCTGTTTTAAATGGGTAATCTCTTATTCTGAAATTATATCCTCTGGTCCTAACACTCTCACAAGGCGAAACAACCTCTCCACTTATACCCTGTTAAGTCCCATATATGTTTCAATAATGTTTTGCCTTTCCTTCTTCTAAATTCTAATGAGTACAAGCGCAACTCAATTATTTGCTCCTCCTAAAAAATCCTTCCAACCCCAACATCAACTTAATGAGCCTTCAGTACGAGAGCTGATGGCTATTATCGCTGGACTGTTAATCCAGAAATTTCGTTAATGTTCTGAGGACCTGGGTTTGAATACTGCCACAGCAGATGGTGGAATTTGAATTCAGTAAAAAAAAATCTGGAATTATGAATCTACTGATGACCATGAAACCATTGTCGATTGTCAGAAAAACACATCTGGCACACTAATGCCCTTCAGGGAAGGAAATCGGTCATCCTCACCTGGTCTGGCCGACATATGATTCCAGACCCACAGCAATGTGGTTGACTCTGAACTGCCCTCTGAAACAAGTGACTCAGTTGAATGCATTGCCACAATGTCTCAACAAAGAAATGAAACTGGACGGACCACCTGGCATTGAACTAGACATCGGAAAAGACAATGGCAGAATTGTAGAATCCCGACTTTGTGGAAGCAGGCCATTTGGCCCATTGAGCCCACACTGACCTGCTGGAGAGCGTCCCACCCAGACCCATGCCCCTACTCTAGTAAGTCTGCATTTCCCATGGCCAATCCACCTACCCTGCACATCCCCGAACACTATGGACAATTTAGCATGGCCAATCAATCCAACCTGCACAACTTTGGACTGTGGGAGGAAACCAGAGCACCTGGAGGAAATCTACACAGACATGGGGAGACTGTGCGAACTCCACACAGACAGTAGCCTGAGGCCAGAATTAAGCCTGGATCCTTGGCGCTGTGAGGCAGCAGTGTTAACCACTGTGGCACCGTGCTGCCCCCTGTCAGCCCTGTCAGTCTTGCAACCATCCTCCTCAGTAACATTTGGGGGCTGGTGCCAAAACTGGGAGAGTTGTCTCATGGACTAGTCAAGCAACAGCCTGACATAGTCATACTCATGGAATCATACTTTACAGACAACATTAGAGACAACACCATCATCGTCCCCTGATAATGCCCTGTCCCACCAGCAGGACAGACCCAGCAGAGGTGGTGACACAGTGGTAGACTGTTGGGAGGGAGTTGCTCTGGGAATCCTCAACATTGACTCTGCACCCCATGAAGTCTTCAGGTTAAACATGGGCAAAGAAACCTATTGACTGAAAACAAAACAATGCTGGAGATCACAGTGGGTCAGGCAGCAGCCATAGAGAGAGAGCAAGGTAAAGTTTCGAACCTAGATGATTCTTCATCAGAGTCCGATGGTAATGGCTGAGCGGGCTAAATCTGATGAAGAGTCATCTAGACTCAAAACGTTAGTTTGCTCTCTCGCAATGGATGTTGCCTGACCTGCAGTGATCTCTAGCATTTTTTTGTTTCAGTGCAGATTCCAGCATCTGCAGTAATTTGCTCCTACAAGGAAACCTCCTGCTAATTACCACGTACCGTCCTTCCTCGGCAGATGAAGCAGTACTCTTCCACGTTGAAGCACTGAGGATGGCAAAGGCATAAAACATACTCTTGGTGGGACATTTCAATGTCCACCACCAAGAGTGGCTCAGCAGTTGGAGGGATCCTAAAGGACATAGCTACTAGACTGGGTCTGCAGCATGCGGTTAGGGAACTGATATGAGGGACAAACATACCTGACCACAACCTTACCAACCTGTTGGCTGCAGATGTATCGGTCCATGACATTATCAGTAACAGTGACCATTGCACAGTCCTTGTGGAGATGAAGTCCTGCCTTCTCATTGGGAATAACCTCCATTGCGTTGTGTGGCACTATCACCGTGCTAAATGGGATAGACTTCGCACAGATCTCGCAACTCAAGACTGGCATCCATGAGGTGCTGTGAGCCATCAACAGCAGCAGAACTGTACTCCAGCACAATCTGTAACCTCATGGCCCGGCATATACCCCACTCAACCATTCATCAAGGCAGGGGATCAACCCTGGTTCAATGAAGAGTGCAGGAGGGCATGCCAGGAACAGCACCAGGAATACCTGAAACTGAGTTGTCAACCTGATGCAGCTACCAAATAGGACTACTTGCACGCCAAACAACATAAGCAGCAAGTAACCACACAACCAATAGATTAGATCTAAGCTCTGCAGTCCTGCCACATCCAGTCGTGAATGGTGGTGGACTATTAAACAACTCACTGGAGGAGGAGGGTCCACAAATATCCCCATCCTCAAGGATGGAAGAGCCCAGAACATCAGAGCAAAAGCTAAGGCTGAAGCATTTCCAAAAATTTCCAAACAGAAGTGCTAATTGAATGATCCATCTCAGTCTCCTCCAGTGGTCTCCAGCATCACAGGTACCAGTCTTCAGCCAGTTTGGTTCACTCCATGTGATATCAAGAAACATTTGGAGGCACTGGATACTGTAAAGTCTATGGGCCCTGGAAACATTCCGGCAATAGTACTGAAGACTTGTGCTCTAGAATTTGCCGCTCCCCCAGCCATTCTCTTTCAGTACAGTTACAACTTTGGCATCTACCTGGCAATGTGGAAAATTGTCCAGGTACGTCCTGTACACCTAAAGCAGAACAAATTCAACCCGGGCAAATACCACCCCATCAGTCTACTCTCGATCATCAGTAAAGTGATGGAAGGTGTCATCAACAGAGCTATCAAGCAGCACCTGCTCAGCAATAATTTGCTCAGTGACACCCAGTTTGGGTTCTGCCAGGGCTGTTCTGCTCCTGACCTCATTACAGTCTTAGTTAAAACATGGACAAAAGAGCTGAATTCCAAAGCTGAGGTGAGAATGACAACCTTTGACGTTAACAGCACATTCGACCAAATATGGCATCAAAGAGTCCAAGCAAAACTGGAATCATTGGATATCAGGCAGCAAACACTCCACTGGTTAGAGTCATACCTGGCACTTTGGAAAATGGTTGTTGTTGTGGGAGATTAGTCATCTCAGCTCCAGGACATCTCTGAGGACTTTCTCAGAGCAGTGTCCTAGGCCCAACTATCTTCAGCTGCTTCATCATAAGATCAGAAGTGGGGATATTTTGCCAATGACTGCACAAACGTTCAGCACCATTTGTGACTCCTCAGATATTGAAGAAGTCCACATTTAAATGCAACAAGATCCGGACAATATCTAGGCTTGGGCTGAAAAGTAATATGTAACATTGATGCCAGGCAATGTCCGTTTCCAATAATAGACAATCTAACCACTGCCCCTTGACATTCAATGGTGTTATCATCACTGAATCCCCCACTATTAACATACTTGGGGTTACCACTGACGAGTAGCTCAACTTGATTCACCACAAACACAGTGGCTACAAGACCAGGTTAGATGTTAAGAATACTGCAGCGAGTAACTCACATCCTGACTCCCCAAAGTCTGTCCATCAGTTTTAAGGCACAAGTCAGGAATGCAGCCCCAACAACACTCAAGAAGCTTGACACCATCCAGGACAAAGCAGCCCGCTTGATTGGCACTACATCTACAAGCATTCGCTCCCCCACCACCAATGCTCAGTAGCAGCAGTGTGTACTATCTGCAAGATGCACTGCAGAAATTCACCAAAGGTTCTTAGACAGCACCTTCCAAACTCATGACACTTCCATCCAGAAGGACAAGAGCAGCAGATACATGGGAATAGCCCATCCTCTGCAAGTTCCCCTCTGAGTCACTAGCCTTCCTGACTTAGAAATATATCACTATTGCTTGACTGTCACTGGGTCAAAATTCTGGAATTCCGTTCTGTAACAGCATAGAAGGCCAAACCACAACACATAGGCTGCAGCAGTTCAAGAAGGCAACTCATCACACCTTCTCAAGGGCAATTAGGGATGGGAAATAATTGTTGGCCAGCTTGCTACTCCCACATCCCATGAGTGAAATACAAAACATGTCAGTATATCTTCCCTTAGATAAGGGGACCAACACTATGGTCTGATTAGCGCCTTGTATATAGATTTAGCAAGATCTCTTTATTTTTATGCTGCACTCCCTTTTAACATTCATTTTGCCTTCCCTATGATCCACTGAACTCGGATGTTACATTTTAGTGATTCATGCACGAGGACTCGCAAACCCCTCTTTGCTGCAGCTTTCTGCAGTCTTTCTCCATTTAAAAAATATTCAGCTCTTCTATTCTTAATCTTTACCTGGTGGACCTACATGTGACTTCAGATCCATAGTAATGTGGTTAACATTAAATGTCCTCTGCAATGGCCTAAAAAACATCTCAATTCAAAGACAATTTCCTTGTCAAAATGGCATACATCCCACATAATAATTTTTTTTTGGAAATGGCATTTATTGTCTGCTTGAAATGTTTATTACAAAAAATATGGAAACTTAAACAAAATACCTGATGAGCCAATTCATGAGCAATCACCATAGTGACTATCTGTTTGTCCAGTATTGATGCAGTCTCTTCTTTGTAAAGGAGTGCTATTTCTCGGAAAGTGATTAGACCCCAATTTTCCATGGCTCCTGCTTCAAAATCAGGGATAGCTACCAAATCTGGGAAAGGAAAACATCATAATACAATAATCAATGCCATACCTTGCACAAGGTTAATTTAGTGAGCTAATCTCCTCTTAATGAACAGAGCAGAACTTCAAAATACATGCTATATAGCTACAGAGATTTTGTTTTACAAACCCAAAATACTGTGGATAGTGGAAATCTGAAATAAAAACAGAAAATGCCAAAAATAATCAGCATGTCATGCATTATCTGTGAAGAGAGAAACAGAGTTAACTTTTCAGGTCAACGATCTTTTTATCAGTTTGGGTTTCTCATTCATTAGGTCAAGTAACATCAATAGGTGAGGCTTTCTTTATACTGTGATCAGTCTAGCACTCATGTTTGCCAATGATTGTGCCACAATTGACAAGAATAGGGGTAGGCAAAATATCAAGGGATATGGGCCAAAAGCAGGGAAAACAGGGTTGAGGAATGGATCAACCATGATCTATATGAATGGCAGAGGAGACTAGATAGGCTTATGTCTATTCCTATTTTCAATTTGCAATGTCTCTGGTGACAGTGAAATATAATTTAAGAAATTTGAATGTGATATAATCTATATGTTGAAGCTTTGGCATATGCAAGTATGTACAATATGGAACAGTCCTGAGATCCCACAAAGAATGTAGATTGATCGACTCATTTATTTGAAGGGTATGTGATATGAAAAGCTGATTTTAAAAAGGCCATGACATTTGTTATGACTCGGAAGAGGAAATGATAGTTGATGCCCTTCCTTCGCATGAGAACTGTAGGAGGCAAATGCACAAGGATTCACTGCTAACATGTTGTCACCCAACAGCCAGATGTAGAATAGGAGAATAAACAGCAGAATTCTCATGAGCACAGAGAGATAAAATGAAAACAATTAGGCCAATTCCTTTCTGCCTCACCAATTTCACACATGCACTGTATTTATTTTTCTTATTTGTAAATATTTTTCCTGCCTACCAGTCAACCATTGACTCATATGCCTTTTCTATACAGTTAACTACCTTTACTTTCAAATAAAAGTTTAGAAATGTATAAGTTTGGAGAACTTAGCGCTAGTTTTTGATGGCTGCCATGGTTTCCTATGAGAGATAGTATGAACTTGCCCAAACTCTAGGACGTTCCTAGAATCTCAGGTGTCCTTGGGACACAAGATATTTGTTGCTGAACTTTGGGGTAATGGGTACTGGCTGAGCCAGAAAATGGTGAGAGATTCTGGGTAACTCAGGGAGTAGTCAGAGATGATCCTGTGATTGATACCAAGAAGATAGAGAAGTTAGCTGAGAAGGAGGGAATGGTTATGCATGAGGAGAATATTACATGGTGAGAAAGATCAAAGCAAGATAAGAGGACAATGCTCATGATGGAAAGACATATGGAAGAAAATGCAGAGGAGGCAGTGATTGTTGATTGGCTGTTAGAGTTCAAACATACAGTGCGGGTCAAAAAGTTGATAAGCCTCTGACAAATGTGCTAGGAGGGAAAGTCAACAAGTGAGAAGAGGATAAGACAGTGGGGGCTGCCACTTGTGAAGAGACAACATTAGGCACCTCCATGTGCCCTTCTGCGAAATTCAAGGGAGACACAGGGATGGGGGTGGATACTGTGCTTCCCCATAATGGAGCCAATCTTCACATGGCGGCAGGAGACAAGGTAGGAACAGTAATCTTATTGGGCTGGCCACTAGGTGTGGTAATGACTGAAGTTGAGCTGAATTGACAGCCTTCATTCTATCTGCAGTATGGTAATGTTCATACAGTTAAAAAACCTCCTGTGTTTTGCCATCCTCTTTAGTTATGTATATATCTGCAGAAAATAAAAATCTGACCAAACTGACATCTATTACTGCAGGAGCACTGTCTTGTTATGGGAAATACACCTCCGTGAGAATATCATTAATACATTTTAAACAGACCTCCAAAGAGGGCTATTTCCCTCAAGCCATCAGAGTGAACTTGCCAGTTTAGTGCTCAATTACAGGTTGTTTTTAACAGTTGAGCAGTAAAATACTAATTTTTTTTTCCAGTGGAAAATCAATTGAGAAACTAATTTTAGTCATTCACAACTGACAGGGAAAAGGAAATGAACTGACTCACTGTACCATCTATTCCCTTGGCTCTCTTTATTTATGTAGGCACAAAGTAAATAACATTCTTCAGTCTTTGTGAAATTCTGAAATAGCTGCATCAAGAGCTGAAGATCTGCTTGACAAATTCTGCAGTAAAGAAACAGCTTCCATGGACTAAGTTGGGGTTGCAGCCTCTCAAATACAATGTTGAAGAATGCCCAATGAAACATTGTGCTGGACATTCAGCAAATTAATTCCCAACATGTAAAATTAAACATGAACTCTGAAAGTATCATCATATTTAATAGCACAAAAGAAGTACAGGTGCTTGTTCTATTTGACAAATTGGATTGTTAGCTAAGATGAAGTCTACTTGTATGGTGTGATACACGGTCAGGCCATGCAATAATCCTTCGAAGTGCACATACCCTACTAAAGAAGTCAAAGGGAACATGGAAGGTGGCCAACTTTCAATTCTTATGCTTGTTGGTGCAAATGTTGTTACTTCAACCAAATCAAGGTTTTGCCTAGCTTTGGTTTGTAAATCATATCCAATTGCTTCACTCAGGGCTTAAGACATTCTTCAATATGTCATACCAGTCAGATGAGTAGGGCTTTCTTTTAAGCATGCAGGCTGTACGTGCATTCGTAAGCCAATGTACAAACATGAAACTAAACCCCAAATGAGGTCACAAGCATGGCTGTCCTTTAAGCCTTCCAGTGTTAGGTCATATAACATTTAACATACTGTCTGACATTTGAACACTTCAACAAATATCATAATGCACTAGGTTCATTTAAGGCTATTTTCAGTCTCTGTTTTGGACAGACAGCAGCAGCTTGTCCAAACTTCATTATGAAAAATGTTTATTCTAACTTACCCAGTTTCGTTAAGGGATAGGATATATTAAAAAAGTCTTCATAAAACTTCAGAAGCTTCACTGATGCTTCTAATGCATAATACATTTGATCCATCTTGTCAGGAACAGCATATATGGATACCTGGGTAAATTCAAGAGGACAGGATCAGAATTGTTTCATCACAAGTGAGTTATATTGCCAGAAAACCTCTTGAATGCAGTGAGCTGACAGACCATTAGTCTTTTAAAGACAATCTCCATGGGCAGGACACCCTTCATTGGCTATTGTGGTAGCCTTGTGATAAGGTGGACAGACAAGATGATTGAACTGGCAGCCCAACACTAAACATCAACAACGTGAGCCGTGAGCAACAGCAGTGTAAGTCTACATTATAATATGCAACCTTCTGATTCAGTACATCTGTTACGCTTTATGCATAAACCAGGGCAAGCCCACAGTTAATGAATTAGAGAAAGAACTTTGTGTTTTTACCAGATCCAGTTCAAGACTGTGTTGGACAACTAGGTGACCAGCAGAAAAAGATGGTTGAATTAATATCTACACCGTGAACCAACAGAACCTGACATACATGCACAAGACTATTCCAAAGGTGCTGAGTGAATATTTCTCCCTAGCCTTCTCCTGAGGTCCCCATTATCATACCAACCAGTGTCTAGCTAATTTGTTTATGGGACATAAAGTGAAGCAGCTGAGTGTACAGTATGCTGCAAAGACATCAATGCCCAATGAAAATCTGTGTAGAAAAAGAGATTTCAACTGAACAATGGCATTGGTGAAAGGTTGTCAGGTACATCCCATCAACAAAAACAAGGGAAATCTAACTCAACCAACTGGCATTCTATTAATCTCCTTTCAATCATGCAGTAAACTGAAGCAAGGAATCATCAATGTTACCATCAAGAAACATCTACTCGCTAATAATCTGTTCACCAATGGTCAATTCTGGTTCTGCTCAGGTCCTGACCCTCATCACCACCTTAGAATCATAGAATTATACAGCACAGAAGAAACCTTTCAGTATATCAGTCTGTACTGCTAAGGATTTAGGATTACCTACACTCATCCTACTTCTTTTAGCAAACAGGATTAAAGAGACTTCCAACACTTTTTATACATATTTAAAAGCAAGAAGGTAGCCAGGGAAAGGGTTGGCCCACTCAAGTACAAAGAAGGGAATCTATGTGTGGAGCCAGAAGAGGTAGGTGAGTTCCTAAATGAATGCTTTGGGTGGGTATTCACCAGAGAGAAGGAATTGGTGGAGGATGATCTCAGGGAAGGGGGTGTCAAGTTTCTAAGCCAAGTTGCTATTAAAAAGGAAGAGGTGTTGTCCATCTTATAAAGTATTAAGGTAGATATGTCCCCGGGTCATGATGGGATCTATCCCAGGATATTGAGGGAGGCAAGAAACAAATTGCTGGAGCATTGACAGACATGTTTGTATCCTCTTTGGCCACAGGTCAGGTGGCAGAGGACTGGAGAATAGCTGATGTTGTCCCATTGTTTAAGAAGGGTAGCACTGGAAATTACAGACGTGCAAATTTCACGTCAGTGGTAGGGAAATTATTCAAAACGATTCTCAGGGACAAGATCTATATGCTTTTAGAACCAGATGGACTTATTAGCAGCACACAGCATGGTTTTGTGCAGGACAGGTCATGCCTCACTAACTTGATCAAGTTTTTTGAGGAGGTGATAAAAATTACTGATAAGGGAAAAGCGGTTGATGTTGTCTACACGGACTTCAGTAAAGCCTTTGACAAGGTCCCTCATGGCAGACTGGTACAAAAGGTGAAGTATCAGGGGTGAGCTGGAAAAATGGATACAGAACTGGCTTAATCATAGGAGACAGAGGGTAGCTGTGGAAGGATACTTTTTGGAATAGAGGGCTGTGACTAGTGATGTTCCACAGGAATCAGTGCTGGGACCTCTGCTGTTCGTGGTCCACATTAATGATTTGGAGGAAAACATAGCTGGTCTAATAAGGAAGTTTGCAGACGATACAAAGATTGGTGGAGTTGCAGATAGTGAGGAGGATTGTCAGAGGATACAGCAGGATATCGATCAGCTGGAGGCATGGGCAGAAATATGGCGGTGGAATTTCATTCGGACAAATGTGAGGTGATGCATTTTGGAAGGTCAAGTACGGCTGGAAATTATACAGTGAATGGCAGAACCCTCAGGAGTAATGATCTGCAGAGGGATCTGGGTGTGCAGGTCCACAGATCACTGAAGGTGGCAGCGCAGATAGATAAGGTAGTAGAAAAGGCTAATGGCAAGCTTGCCTTCATTGGAAGGGGCATTGAGTATAAGGATAGAAAAGTTATGCTGCAGCTTAATAGAACTTTAGTGAGGCCACACTTGGAATATTGCATACAGATCTGGTCACCACACTACCAGAAGGATGTGGGTGCTTTGGAGAGGGTATAGAAAAGGTTTACCAGGATGTTGCCTGGTGTAGAGGATTTTAACTATAAAGAAAGGTTGGACAAACTGGGTTTGTTTTCACTGGAACACAGGAGATTGAGGGATGGCCTAATAGAAGTTTATGGAATTGTGAATAGCATGGATAGAGTGGAAAGTATGAGGCTTTTCCCCAGCAATTACTGAGGGACACAGGTTCAAGGTGCGGAGGGAGGGAAGTTTACATGAGATGTGTGAGGCAGGTTTTTCACACAAAGGGTGGTAAGTGCCTCGAACGCATGTCAGAGGAGGTGGTGGAAGCAGATACAATAGCAGCTTTCAAGAAGCACCTCAACAGATACATGAATAGGAAGGGAGTAAAGGGATACGGATCCTGTAAGTGAAGACAATTTTAGTATGGAAGGGCAAAATGTGTCATTGCAGGTTTGGAGGGCCAAAGGACCTATTCCTATGCTATTCTTTGTTCCTCCCCATACTAGGCCCACAATCTTGAATGTTATGACACTTCAAGTCTTCAACCGAGTACTTTTTACAGGTTGTGAGGCTTCCTGCCTCAACTATCCTCCAGCAGGGCATTCCAGAACTCCGGCACCCTATGGGTGAAAATCTTTTCCTCAAATCCTCTTTATCTAAGGGAGCAAGAGTTGAATGTCAAAAAGATGTGAAGGTAATGTCACATCATTCAACTTAGTAACACATCAAAGAGTTTCAGCACAAATGAAATCAACAGGTGTCCAAAGGAACTGCTGTTAGATAGCTGGCACCTTACCTGGTAACAAGGCAGATGTTTACTGTTGTTGATGCCAGTTGCTAGAACTCCAGAATATTATGGCAGGAGTTCCTCAGAGATGTGTCTTTCACCCCAACCACCTCCAGTTGCTTTATCAATGATGTTCACTTTTGATTCTAAGGTCATGAATGGGGCTGTTCACTGATAATATCAGAGCTCCTTTGACAATAAAGTGACCTTAGTCACCTAGACTCAGGGTAGGTAGTAGCAAGTTAAAATTGTAACACAACATGATGCATTCTGAACATCTCAAACAAGAGAATACCCACTAACGTTTCTTGATCTTTAGCTACACCAGTTTCTTAACATCTGTATCCTGTGGATTGCTATTCACCAGAATTTGAATTGCACCAACCACATCAACAGTGTACCTGCAGGACGGTGGGAGGGCACTAATATCCTGCTCCCTCAAAGTCTTGCCACCATCTCACAAGACTCAAGACTGATAGAATGCTCACTATGCATTTAGACAGATTCAGGTGCAACTATCAATATGTCTGTCCGTCTCCAGGATGCATCAGTTAGCTTTATTAATGCTTCTACAAATGGACTGAATGCTCACTCCTTCCACCACTGGTACACAATGACTGCTGTGTCTACAATCTACAGAATGTCAGGCAATAACTCAGCAAAGTTATATTATTAACACCTGCTTCTGTTGCAACCTCTACCATCAGAAAAAAAACAAAATCAGCAATATTGTGAGTACGGTATCACTTCAATGTTACATATTACCTAGACTTGGACTCAATGTCTACTAGATTGTCATCACTAGGTCAGATCGTAGAACTCCTAACAAACACCTTTATGGGATTACCATTAGTGCGACAACTGCATTGATTCAAAGAGAAGGCCAGCTATCATCTTCTTGGAGGAATGGGGAGAGACAATAAATGAAGCCTTTCCTGCAATGAAGTAGAAGTAACTACTACAGAATAGTAAAGACTTACCAGAGTTCCACTTTCAGTGAACTGGCTGACATTCTTCAATTCAGCCACAATAAATGCCACCAGGTAAGTGCTCATGTTTAAACTTTCTGCAAATGTGTCTTGAAACAGTCCATTGTCAAGTGATGTTGTAGCATCCTAGAAGAGATTGTACAGATATATTGATCATCAAACATTTTCTGCAGTGTTTTAAGACCAAAGGCTGTAAGACATAGGAGCAGTCATCAGCCATTTAGGCCATTGAGTCTGCTCCAGCAACAAAATCATGGCTGTTCTGATAATCCTCAACTCCACTTTCCTGCTTTTTTCCCATAACCCTTGATTCCCTAACTGATAATAAAAAAGTTTCTACCTGATTCTTGAATGTTCTTAGTGACTCAGCCTCACTAACCCTCAGCAGTAAAGAATTCTTCAGATTCACTCATCTCTGAGAGAAGAAATTCCTCTTCATACCTGTCTTAAATATGCAACTCTTATTCTGATCTTATAGGGGTGGCATGGTGGCATGGTGGCTCAGTGGTTAGCACTGCTGCCTCATAGCACCAGGGTCCCAGGTTCAATTCCACCCTCAGGTGACTGTCTGTGTAGAGTTTACACATTCTCCCTGCATCTGTATGGGTTTCCTCCCACAGTTCAAAGATATGCAGGCTAGATGGACTGGCCATGCTAAACTGCCCATAGTGTTCAGGGATGTGTAGATTAGGGGGGTTATAGGGGGATGGGGCTGGGTGGGAAGCTCTGAGGGTCAGTGTGGACTTGTTTGGCCAAAGGGCCTGTTTCCACACTGTAGGGATTCTACAATTATGGTCTCTGGTCCTAGACTCTCCCACAAGCAGAAATGGCCTTTTTGCATCTAACCTATCACAAGGCTTCTTAAAATCTTGGATGTTTAAATAAGTTTGCCTCTCAGGTCTTCTAAATTCCAAAGAGTACACGCTTAACCTCTCTTCTGAAGATAGTCTCTCCATACCTTGTATGAGCCTAGTGAATCTTCCCTGGTCTGCTTCCAATGTCAGCACATCTTTCCTTAGATAAAGGACCCAAAACTATTCACAGTATTCCAGTTGTGGTCTGACTACTACCTTATATAGATTTAGCAAAAACACCCAACTATTGTATTCTATTCTCTTTGAAATAAAAGCCAATTGCTCACTTTTTGTGATTTAGGGACAAAGACTCCCCAAATCTCTCTGTTCTGTTTCTTCCTGCAGTCTTTCGACATCTAAATAATATTCAGCTCCTCTATTTTTCCTGCCAAAATGCACGACCTCACATTTTCCCACATTATTTTCCATCTACCAAATTTTTGCCCTCTCACTTAACCTGTCCATATCCCTTTATGTCATCCTTACCGTTTGCCTTCCCACCGATTGCTGTGTCACCTGCAAATTTGTCTGTCATACATTCACTAATTTGCATTTTTAAAGACAACCTAGCTTTCAAAGGAATAAATTTCTTGCATTTATTTCATTCTGAAAAAAGTAGTCTAGACACAGTGTTGGAAAACCAAACTGAAACCCATCCTTGGGAAGAGGAAAGGGAGCAACTAACTGCAGTGACATCTTGAAGCTCATCTAGACAGACACACTGAAATTCCATTGTTTTTCTGAACCTCATCGCATTATAGCTTTGGCATCCTTGGTCCTATTTAGTGTTATACGCAATAAATGTAACAAAGGACTTAACTATTGGTCCAGTCAGAAAGTCACTGGTTAACAGATTAGTATAAACCTGGAACAAAGTGGAAAGAATCTCAACCCTACCCGACTTACTTTAACCACTGCAGCTGCATTCTACTCTTGAAACCATTTTCTGATATCCTGTAGCCTAATTCAGTAACCAAAAACAAGCGATTTTTCAGCATTCCAGATCTCACCAAGAAAACACACCTCAGGTCAATACAGGAGCTGGAATAAAGAAAATATACTCTACAGTACCACAGGAGGGTTAGAAGAAGTTGTATCAACAAACCCCTGCTTTGAAGTCCACATTTTACTTAAGCCGTCTGCACATTTTGGAGAACCCGATTGTAAAACTTTAAGCCAGAATCAGGAAACTGGTCTATTTTTTGACTCCCATCCAAGCTGCCTGCCTGTCCTTCTAAGAGCTCCGTGTAGGGTGCGAGAGCTCTGCTCCTAAAACTGAAAACAAGCGCTATTTTGGGAATGTAGATGAAGAGAAAACATCACTGGAATGCCTTGTAATGTTAGGTTCTGGAAACAGCCTAATCATTATCACCAGAAACAACTACGGTTCTAACCTTCGTGCAATTAGGCCTTCTGGCTTAATATTTCAGTTCTTCACATAGAATTATTAACACTTGTAATAATTAATCCAATTTTAAATTTGTGCCCATATTTATAACAAGATTCTTGACTGTTGCATAATGGAAAAGAATTTTTTTTTTAACTTGCTGGAACTGCACTTTCTTCATACTTCATTCATAGAGTTATAGAATCCCTACAGCGTGGAAACAGGCCATACCGATCCTTCGAACAGCATCCCACCCAGACCCACCCCCTACTCTATCTTTGCCACCACGCATTTCCCATGATTAACCCACATAGCCTGCATATCCCTGGACACTATGGGCACTATTAACATGGCCAATCCACCTAACTGGTACATCTTTGGACTGTGGCAGGAAATTGGAACACTCGGAGGAAACCCACGTAGACATGGAGTAAATGTGCAAACTCCACACTGATAGTCACCCGAGAGTGGAATTGGACTCAGGTCTCTGGCGCACTGCTAACCACTGAGCCGTGCTTCAAACAAAAATTGTATCAATGACTTTGTGTAGAAGATGAACTGCTTGGCAATACACTGCACCTCCCACTTTGACTGATTTCTGTACTGTTTGTTAGTCCAAGTTTGTGCTCAAGGGGACACTATCACTGCAGAACCATTGTTAACTTTAATACAATACTTCAACAGGCCACAATCTTCTACAAATAATATCTAAAGAAATCAGTCTTGTTAAGTGCACATAACAGAAATTTATATTCAGAGTTCTAATTCACACATAAGTGGGATAGCAACTTCAGTTCTCATTTTAAATGAGCTTGCAGTCATGTAACTAATAAGCTCATTAAGAAGCAAAATACTGTAAATGCTGGAAACCAAAAGGAAAAGCTGAAAACAACACGTCAATAAGATACGCCAATGCAGTCTGCAGATGCTAAATGCTCTGACGTCACGCTCATGCCCACTTGTTCATGAAATGCTGTTATCTGACTTGTGGATTGTTATTGTTCTAGCACAGTTCTAAACTGTTCTATGTTACAAGAAAGTACAAGGGCAGGAAAAATTGAATTATAGGAATTAATACCAAAAATGACTGGGACATAAATGAAAGAAATAAAAATTGATAAATTAAAATGTAGCCTTCCTTCTTATTCTGAAGGTATCAACTGCGATGAAATACTTACGCCTAGATGTCAGAGATATTCTGGTACCTTGTTTAAGTTGCAACTTTTCACCAGAATCTAAATGAATGTCAGGATTACTTGAATCATCAGGGAAGTAAACATTGCAGCAAAGGCAAGAATTGCAGCCTTATGTGATGTCTAAATATGCACTTCCAAAAAACCTGATGTTTTCTTTCATTGCCTCCCAGCCAACTGAACACTACATGCTGTTGTAATCAGCTAACATGGTTCTATCTCCTGTTTATTGTAGGTTGTACTATGCTGGGGGAATTTATTTTGAATTTTTGAAAGCTTTCTCCTTTCCAAAACAAAAGCATGCATCAGAACAACAGCTGGAATAATACATTCTACTCTGACAAACGTAAGGAATGTAATAGGAATATTCAATTCCTCACAGTAACTCTAACGTCAAACAGTGCTGACAAGGTTGCTCTCTCATTATTCTACTGATTTCATTCTTCTTTTTGCTTCTCCGAAATGCACTGACTCCACATAGTAATTCTTCTTTAATGAGCCTGAGTAGCAAGTTTGAAGGTTATCATAGGGAAGGCCAACTATCTCCACACATATCCATTACCAGCAACAGCATTCATCGGGCAATAAACCAGCAGCAAGAACCTGGCACATTTTGAATAGTGAGATCAACTACATTCTCCATTGACAGATGTTATATGATGTTATATAACTTTCATCTATAATTCCCCTTTCTTAAGTCTCTGAAAGTGCAATTGCTTCCAAAGTTCACGCCTAACTTTCTAGTAACTCCATATACAAATTGCTTCAATTAAGTTTCAGCACCACGGTACATCGTGAGTGACTGGAAAGCATTATCCTTCCCATTCCTTCTAAAAGTCTTTGCGCCCTTTGGCATTGTCAAGTCAAATATCCTTCTACAACTCCTCTCTTTATCCAGCTTCACTTACCTGCTCTCACCTTTATTCACTCTTGCCTCTGCAATCACAGAAAACTTCCAGTAATGGCTTTATTTTCCAAACACATGCCATTATCTTTACAATCAAACAAATTTCTATCTATGGTTCCCTCTTCTTCCTTTACTCCATGTTGCTCCTTGGCAATATTACCTCAAGCATAACACCCCACATACACGCTGACAACACATAGTTCTACCTCATTACCAATTCTAAATCCAAATTGTTAGACAGCTTTTCCAACATGGCTGAGCAGGAACTTACTCCAATTAAACATTGCCTTTTCTCCTGCCAACAAACATTGTGACAATGCCACCAATTTCCTTGTCCTGTCCCACCCTTATATAGAATGTTTGTCACTCTAGCATCCTATTAAATCTCAAGCTTTTATCTTGTGTTGTCTCATCACAAACACTGCCCACTTTGACCTTCCTCATTTTAAAAATCTCCATCATTATTTGTCCCCATCTGCTATCAAAATCTTCATTCACTTGAGCCATAAAACAGTATGTTGGATTAGCCTCCCTGTTATACTCATGAAGTTACTATATTTACATAGTAATTGAGTTGTCTACAGAAAATTAGATCTAGTAATCATCGCTGAATATGAACTTTTATTGACCAGATATTGTTAATATTTTATGGCGGAGCAGTCTCAAGTGACTGCATGGTTCACTCCCACTTCAAATTCATTTGTTCATATGTTTTAATAACTGCCCCGAAAATAAGAGTTAAGCACTCACTTTATTCTTCCAGCTTCTGAATTATTTCAGATTTTTAAAGAAAATTCCTTTCGCTTTTCCTTTCTGACTTGAAAACAATCTTTCTTTCCCATTTGTTTGCATTTCTGCACCTGATTAGATTGCAAACCCACCCAATTTAATTCCCCTCCTTCTCTGTCCTGCTATTTATTTTATAATTCTTTAATCTTCTTGATTAAGGAGCCAGACTTCTTGTTCTGTTGCTCATCAAGGACTCACATATCTTATTTTCAAAACTAAGCCATTATCAGCTCAAACATTTAACTATATCATGACTAAAAATTTTGAAAATGTAAACAAGCATGTAATCTTATATTTAACTAATGGAGTTTGCCTCAGCAAAATGTGCAGCATAGGTTTTTATCGTAAGATTATTATGAAAAAGTTTCCCTTAACCTTCTGCATGTTGGATAATGAGATGTGTTCAGCATCCCTGATTATCTTGATCGTAAATGTTGCCTTAAAAGCTGGTTCATCAAAGCATGGGAAAGCCTTTCGTGCTGAAGATGGCTCAAACTGTGTGGCGGCCAATATTCTGTAAAAGGACAGGGAAAAAAACATGATCCACAGGATGCTCTGAAAATAAACACTACTTAACAGAAATGTGGTACATTCTGTAATGGTTCAAACTTTCTTTTATGTGTCAGACCTTAACTAAAAGGAAACTGAACCATAAACTTTCATTTTCAAAGGGAATGGAGTAAGGGTGGTCATGCTAAGATTATACAAGGCATTAGTCAGACAATACCTAGAAAACTCAGAACAGTTTTGGTCCTCACACTGAAGGGAAGATATATGACAATTGAGGCAGTCCAGAGAAGGTTTGGATACAAAGAGATTTTCTTATAAGGAGAAATTGAGTAGGTTGGGGAGACCTTATTGAAATATATAAGCTCCTTAGGGGACTTGACAGGGTTGATACAGAGACTCTAATTTTCCTTGTGAAAGAGTCTAGCACCAGAATGCATGATCTCAGAATAACAGGTCACCTATTTAAGACAGAAATGAGGATCTTGAAGGACAGTGAATCTATGGAATTATTCATCACAGACGGCTCTCAAAGCTGGATAATTAAGTATACTCAAGGCAGAAACAGACAGATTTCTAATTATTGAGGGCATCAAGAGTTATGGAGATGAAGCAGGAGAGTGCGGTCGAGTATGATCAGATGAGCCACAACCTCATTGATTGACAGTGCAGACTTGATGGGCCAAATGACCTACTTCTGGTCCTACATCTTATGGTCTTATATCAACTGAATTGTAGCTATAAGTTGCAATATGTACAGACTGCATCTTAAAGTTTCAATTTTAGTTTCATCTTCCCTAAAAACTAAAGTTTCTGGTGAAACCGAACCTGAAACTGAAGCCATACAAAAGATACAGAATTATCTAAGCGCTGAGCATCAAGTGGTGTAGTGTAGCAGATTGAAGAAAACAAAGATTGGATCCAGCAGCTGAAAACAAACACAAGATTTTTGCAGATACCAAGGTGTAGAGCTGGATGAACACAGCAGGCCAAGCAGCATCAGAGGAGCAGGAAGGCTGACGTTTCGAAAGGCTAAAGCCCACAACTGTGCAACCTGGGTTGGTTTGGAGGAGCTTTGGATGAGAATTGAAGAGCAGTCCTCATAGAAAGGTAGCTGAAGTTTGACCTCAGGAAGTTCAGAGTTTTAGAAGACTTTGTGGCTGAAATTGATGCTACATATGCCGAGTGGATTACACAGAAAACTCATGAGATATACCTTTGTTGCATCTTCCAATTAGTGTGCAATTAGTGTTAAACATTGACTGAGGTAAAATTAAAAAAAAACAAAATCTTGACCACTGCTTTTTTCATTGGTGACATTCAGTAAATTCAGTCTGTTTTAGTTAGTTGATCTCTACTGGGATCATAAGTTCTTAAACCTACCGGAATCCATTAAGATTACCAGCAATCCTACATGTGATGGTTTAATAATCAGCCACAATTCTCCAACACAAGTCAGCCTACCATAGTCATTGAGGATATCTCATTTGAGGTTATTATTGGAAAATACGTTGGAAAAAACCATTATGTGGAAGACAGTAAATTTAATGTTTATAAAATAACAGCCAAAGAATTGTTTTGGTCTCTCGGTAGTGATAGGAGAAAATCACCTTTTTGAAATATCATTAAACATCACGACCACATTCTTGACATGCCTCAAATACAAAGAACAACTTGCATTTAAAAAATGTCTTCATGATTTTAGGGCATGCCAAAATGCATTTAATGTATTTACGATTGTAATCTAGGAAATGCAGCAAGTTACACCAAGTCAGCTTGAGATAATGACCAGATAATATATTTTATTTTAGTGACATTGATTGAGGGATGAATATTAAACGAGGACACCAGCGATAAATACCCCATCTCTGTCAAAATGTTACATTGAGATCTTTCAATTTGAAGCCCAACAGAGGGGGCAGACATAAAGGTTTAAGTGCCACCTCAGGCAAGACAAGGAAGGAGGAGTGAGACAATCTATTGCCTTTCTCTTCCACAATCAATCAGTGCTCTTTAATTTTAAAAGTACAATGTAAGGGAAGTTTAAAACCACTTTGAGATTACGAAATGAATGAATGGATTTCTTCTTTCCTACAGAGATTACTTTGGTAGCAGCAAGAATAAAATTGAGTTAGCTGCTAACAGTGGAATTCTCACCACAACAGTGTCAGTGTCCATGTATCCAAACTGGTCAGCAGCATGGTAGAGATAAGGTTCCTGCTCAACTAAACTCAGCGTTAGTAGGAATTGCAGATGCTGGAGAATCTGAGATAACAAGGTGTAGAGCTGGATGAACACAGCAGGCCAAGCAGCATCAGAGGAGCAGGAAGGCTCAGCAGGAAAATCATTCTCTGAAGAAGTGTCTAGGCCCAAAACGTCAGCTTTCCTGCTTGGCCGGCTGTGTTCATCCAGCTCTACACCTTGTTATCTCTTAAACTCAGCATTAATCTTCACCTGTGACGTCAGTAGTTATCAATTGCTTTTTGTAAAAAAAAATGAAAGCAAACAATAAACCTTTACATGTCTCAGCTGTTCAGAGAAACAAAGTCCAAAATCTAGCTGAGATTAGTTGACTCCAACTGAAATTATGGAATAACCACATTAACTGTCCCCTCAAACTGCTATCATGAGATACCTGCTAGAAACTGTGCACACATATGCCAATAAGCCCTCTTAATTTAGCCCTCTTAGAAGCAACTCAGCTCTCAGTTCAAAATGAACAATGGCAACTAAAACAGTCAGACTGGCCATTGAGAAAACTGGAAGACCAAAAGCTGACCAAACTTATTATATTTATAGCTCAATAAAGAATGTTCTTCAATTTTGTTTGAATGGTGGTTCACAACAATAATTCAGATGACAAAAGACTGTAACAAAACACAAACAGTTAGCAGGCAATTGAGAAACAGATATGTAGTTAATTCACTGAGGCATGTAAAAATAAAATACAGTAATAACATGAAGGGATTTCAACTGTCTCAATATTAATTGGGATAATCACAGAATAAAGGATTTAGAACAGGCAAATTTCTTGAAATATATACATGAGAGCTTTTTATATCAACATCTAGATGGTCCTACAAGGGACAGTGCCATTGCTGGACCTAATTCTGGGGAACAGTAGGGGAGCATTTTAGTGACAGCGACACGACTCTGTATGTTGTAAGTTTGTTGTGGAAAGGGAGAAAGATGGTCTGCAAAAAGATCTTGGATTGGGGTAAGGCAGATTTTATTAAAATAAGGCAGGATGTGGCCAAAATAGAGTGGGAGCAGCTATTAAAATCATAGAATCCCAACAGCGTGGAAGCAGGCCATTTTGCCCATCAGGCCCATACTAAACCTCTGAAGTGGATCCCACCCTCACCTTATCCCTGTAACCCTACATTTCCTGCGGCTAACTCACCTAAACTACACATCCCTAGACACTATGTGAAATTTAGCACAGCTAATCCACCTAACCTGCACATCTTTGGACTGTGGGAGGAAACCAGAGCACCTGGAGGAAACCCACATAGATACAGGGAGAATGTGCAAACTCCACGTAGACAGTTACCCAAGGCTGGAATTGAACACAGGGCCCAAGTACTCTGAGGCAGCAGTGCTAACCACCGAGCCACCATGCCATCCAGGGTAAATCTACAGCAGAACAGTAGAAAGTATTAAAGAAGGTACTGGGAGAGTCCAGCCTCAACATGTTCCCTTTACAATGAAATGTAGAGCAACAAACCAGAGAACCTGGATGTCTAAGAGTATTCAGGGCTGGATAAAAAAGGAAAGACAGATGTATTTCAGGTGCAGAGCAAAGAAACGGAGGCCCTAGAGGATTATAGAAAGTGCAGGGAGAAATGCAAGAAAGCAAATAGGAGGGAAAAGAGGGTGCGTGAAGAATGCTAGTGGGCCAGATTAGGCAGAATCCCAAGATCAGGGAGAATCCCAAGATATACTTGTAGACTATCAAGGAGAAGAGAAAAACCAGGGAAAGAGCAAGGCCCATTACGGACCAAGGGGGAAATCTGCGTGAAGCCTGAGGACGTTGATAGAATGTTAAATGAATACTTCACACCTGTCTTTACTTGAAAGAAAAAGGGTGCTAGTACAGATTTCAAAGAAGATGGATTGGGAATTTTTTGAGAGGATTGATGTAAGTAGTGAGGAAAAATTGGAAGCTTTAGCTGGTTCTAAAGTGAACAGATCCCCAGATCCAGATAATTGCTTTTTTGTTTATTCATTGGTGGAATGTGGATGTTGCTGACTAGCCAGCATTTCTTGCCCATCCCTAGTTGCCCTGAGAAGGTGGTGATGAGCTGCCTTCTTGAACCACTGCAGTCCACTTGCTGTGTGTTGACACACAATGCTACTAGGGAGGGAATTCCAGGATTTTGATCCACAACCAAGTCAGGATGTTGAGTGGCTTAGAGGGTGGTTGTGTTCCCATATATATCTGCTGTCCTTGTTCTTCAAGATACAAGTGGTTGTGGGTTTGGAAGGTCCTGTCTAAGGATCATAGACATCATAGAATCCCTACAGTGTGGAAATAGGCCCTTCGGCGCAACAAGTCTACTCCAACCCTTGGAGCATCCCACCCAGATCCATTCCCCTATAACCCACCTAAGCTACACATCCCTGAACACTACAGGCAATTTAGTATGGCCAACCCACCTAACCTGCACATCTTTGGACTGTTGGAGGAAACCCACGCAGACACGGGGAGAATGTGCAAACTCCACACAGACAGTCGCCTGAGGGTGGAATCAAACACGGGTTCCTGGTGCTGTGAGGCAGCAGTGCAAACCACTGAGCCACCATGCCGCCCTAACTTTGGTGAGTTTCTGCTGTACATCTCTAGATTGCACACACTGTTACATTTGTATACCAGACTGCTGTGGGAGTCAAGGGAAAACAAAGGGATACTGATCCAAATTTTTAAACTGTTTCTGGCCACAGGAGAGGTACCAGAGGACTGGATGACAGCTAATGTGGGTCTACTTAACGAGATAGACTAGGGAACTATAGATCAGTAAATCTCACTTCAGTGGTAAGGTAAACCATTGGAGAAAATACTAATGGAGAAAATGAATCTCTATTTAGATAGGCGAGACTGGATCAGGGATGGATAGTGAGCATGGGTTTGACAGAAGGAGGTCACTCCTAATTTTCCAAGGAGAGGTGTAGATGAGGTAGGGCAGTTGATGTAGTTCATATGGATTTCAGAAAGGCCTTCAATAAGGTCCCACTGATAAAGAAGGTAAAAGCTCATGGATCCATGGTAAGCTGGCATGTGGATCCAAAATTAGCTTAATGGCAGGAAATAGAGGGTGGTAGTAGAAGCCTTTTTGTGTGACTGAAGGCTGTTGTGCAGTGGTGTACCACAGGAATCAGTGCTTGGTCCCTTATTTTTTATGATATTTGTAAATGATGCAGATGAGAATGAAGAGGAGGAGAATGACAAGCAAGTTTGGAGATGACACAAAGTTTGGGTGGTGGACAGTGAGGCGGAAGATGCTGGGTTACAGGAAGACATAAGTCGATTAGTCAGGTTGGCACATGAGTGGCAGATGGAATTTATCCCTGATAAATGTGAGATGATGAACTCTGGAAGAAGTCACAAGACAAGAGAGTACTTAATGAATGGAAGGACACTAAGAAGTTCAGAGGAACAGGAGGATCTTGAGATGCTTGTCCACAGATCCCTGAAGGCAGCAAGACAGGTTAATAGGCTTTTTAAGATGATATGCGGGACTCTTGCTTTTATTAGTAATAGCATAGTTTATAAAAGCAGGGAAGTTATATTGGAGCCAGACTAGGATTTTAGTTAAGCCACGGCTGGAGTACCATGTGCAGTTCTGGTCACCGCGCTATAGGAAGGATGTGACTGCACTGTAAGGAGTGCAGGAGAGATACCACAGGATGCTGCTTGGGATGGAGCACCTTAGTCATGAAGAGAGGCTGGATAAGCTCAACCTATTCTCCTTGCAGCACACAAGGTTGATGGGGAGCTGATAGAAGTATTTAAGATAATAAGGGACATGGACAGGGTGGATAGAAATCAGTTGTTTTCCTTAGCTGAAGGGTCAAGAACAAGGGGGCACACTTTTGAAGTAAAATGCAAGAGATTTAGAGAGGTCTTATAGAATGTTTTTTGTCAACCAGAGTGTGGTGGGTGCACTGGAATGCACTGTCTGGGACAACAGTTGAGGTATGTAACCTCACAATCTTTTACAGGCACTTGGATGAGCACTTGAAGTGTCATAACATTCAAGGTTATGGGCCTAGTGCAGGCAGTAGTGTACTTTGGCAGTACAGACTCAAAACGTCAAAGGGCCTTTCTGTACTGTATGATTCTATGAACTAAGTCCATAGATGCATAGATTTCCATCCTCATTCCTGAATCCAGATTTGTCAGGGGCTTAGCTCAGATTCAAGGCTCAATGCCAAAAGAATTCCATTTTCTACTGTCTGATAAAGAAGTACACAAGCCTGGGGAATAGCTTTGGCAGCCAAAGACAGCTAAGCAAGGAAAACCAGATTAAAAAAAAAATCTGAAGTTCAAGAAAACCATTTTAAACAAAGAATACCATTGGACATGAGCACTGAAGAGCTTCCCATACAAAACCAAAAATAAAAGTTTATTTATCTGTTGTTCATCTTTTGGAAAAAGGTTCTGAATCTGTCATCGAATTGAAGAAATGTGTAAAAGGAGGCGGTGACAATATTTTCATCCTTTTTCTAGAAAATAATGTGCTGCTAGGAAATGTTGATAAAACCACATTCACTGTCCATCTATTGCTAGACCCTTCAGAAGGCTCTAAGAATTCAATACACAATGCAGCCTTGCATGATGTGTAGAATAGATTGATTTGGGATCGTGGGTTTTCTTTCCTAAATGAGTCACTTGGATTGTCAATGATAATCAAGCACCTTAGAGAATGGGTATTTTCACACTAGTATGTCCAAGTTTGATTGTTAGCCCACAAATGAGCAGATTTATTGAATTGAAATTCATACTCTGGATTTCCAGTTTGTGTAGCAACTATGCTCAATGCTAATACTGAACAGCATATGCTTAACAGCATTCTGTAAGAAAAGCAACAGATACATCGATGAAGTGGTACAAATAGCTGGGCTACAAGACAATGGTGTGCAACAGGGCAAACCAGACAAAACTGAGAAGACTTATTTCCTTCTCAGTGTTTGAAGACAATACACAAATGTAACCTAGTGGGGAACAGTAATTACATGAAGAAAATCATACTGACAAGAATTAGTTTACCTGGTCTTGTTTTTATTTTGATAGCTGCTTTTATAAAATCCAGAAAAACCATCAGATAAATTTGCTGCAAATTCCAGATTCAATGTGTACTTTTTTCCATTCAATAGTGCTGGATTAACTTTAATTGCAATTTGTTGATGTGGTAAGTATTCCAAAACCTGGATATCCTTTGCTTGATTCGATGCCTTTGGAACAATGGTTGCATTGCTGATTTTGAGACCATAGCTGTGGAGAGTGATGTTATTGGTATCCTCCTTGGCCAGGAGGGTTATTTGCACAGAACCTGTGAATTTCATGGTGGTGAGATTGGGATGCAAAGTAAGAGCATAATGCACTGGGACAACAGCATTAGGTAATCTCATCTTTGGCCAAGGAAATACCTGGCCATTGGTTGCCAAAGGATGTATGAGTGTTAAAGTTGTGTTCTTTTTATGGCAGCCTTCTTTGGTGAAGGTACATTTTGGCAAAAAGTAGACAACCATCGCTATTGAAAGTATAATCACCACAACAAATGCTCCAATAAGTACAGTCCGAGCAGAAGAAAAGGAACAAGGTCCCCCTGATGCTTCCCGGTTATAAGCCCCGGACATGTTATTGCGGTGATTGGAACTCCTGTTCATGAATGACATGCCCAACAACCTTGCAGAAGATTCATAGTCTTCTTCATCATCCTCCAGGTCATGTTCTCCCAAACCACGCACCAACAACCGTGAACTATGGGGCTCATATTCAACTTCATCAGGTTCCAGGGGATGAAGGCGTGGCTCTTTGGCCAAGTCAACTATATCAGGCTCCTCTTCAAACATGCTATTTTCAATCATATTTCTGGGCAACTGGGCTCGCTCTGAAAGACAAAAATCAAAATAGTTTCAAATATATTCAGGGTGTTTTACATAGACTGGTGCTGTTCTAAATATCTCCAGCAAGGTCAAGGGCAAATGCCTCGCGGATGTTATTTCCATTAAACTGCAAAATGAATATTGAATACTATACATCATCCAATCATTACCTGGCAGTTTTGGGATCAAATTCTTATAACAATTAACTATTATATCAAATCTGTTATTCAGAAAGTAAATTATACGTGCAACTTGGGATGGGGTGGGGGTTGGGGGAGGGGGGGGTGGGGTCTTGTTGATGTTGGCATATACCTGAAGCAGCAAGAGTCAAATATTCCTGAAAGAGGGGAAAGTTGCAATAGCAGAAACTATTTCACTCACTGCAAAATGTAACGTAGCAATCATATTATTTCAGTAAAAATGATTTAATTAATATCTATTATTTCCTACGTGTATAAACAGAAAACTTGACAGGGTTGTAAAGTATCATAGAATTCTGATGGTCTGCAGCTTGTACAATTGCAGGATTCACAAGAGAAACACAGTCTGAACTATAGTGCAGAACCACCGTAGTTCTGTGCACAACTATACTAAAACTCGAATTTCAAAAACCACAGTAAGTTCAAACTTCACGATTTTCTTTCTTTGGCTTAAATACAGAATACAAGGCCGAACATTAACCTCAAGGAGCAAGATCATCAGGCTTTAACTGCTGCTGACATCAAGCTACTAACATAACCTGCTGATAGTCCACTTTTGATGAGAATGTCAGCAAGTGTTATCAGATGGTGACAGAGCAGGTCTGATTGTTTGAATGAATGTTACATTCCTTACCTATTTAGCTGAGGACACAGGGTACTCACAAGTAAAACTAGGAGATTCTAGGATTCAATATTAACTTATCACTAATTGAGGATAAAGCCTGAACTTTCTGGTGAAACTATGGTGTAACATTGGTGCCTGTCTTGGAATTGGACACTGTTCAAAAGAGATTCATTAGGCTGATTCCTGGGATGAAGGAACTGACTTACCAGGAAAGGTTAAACAGGTAGAGGTTACTCCTTTATTCATTACAGTGTGGAAGAATGGGGTGATTTTATTGAAACATTCAAGATTCTTAAAAGGGCTTGACAAGGTAGACGTTGAAGCGATGTTTGTACTACTGGGAAATCATGAACTAGGGAACATGTTTAGAAAATAAAGGGGATACTCATTTAAAATAAAAATGTGAAGGAAATTCTTCTTCCAGAGGATAGTGAATATCTGGAATACAATACCTTCTCTCCCTGTTGGAGTTTGGAAGCTAAGTCACTGGAAGTATTTATAGAAGAGGTAGATAGATTCTTGTAATATCAAATAGTTGACAGCTATGTTCAGCTTGCACAAAACAGGAGTTGAGGCCTGGGGTCCATGCTGTTCTTGAATGGCAGGGTAGGTTAGAGGGGCAGAATGGTCTACACCTGCTCCAAATCTTATGTTCTTATGGAACAGAAAGACATAATTTGGTCCAATGAGCCCACATCACTATTACTGTTATATGAGATATCATTCAGTTGTATGTATTCTTGTTCAAGTCAGAATATTGTGGGTTCAGGTTCCTTTCCAGCACAAAAATCTAGTTAACACTCTAGCACAGTACTGAGGTAGTTTTGCACTGACGTTTGTAGGAAAAGAAGTAGGATTCATCCATAGATTCCTGGCTTTATCCTTCAATAAATATCATTAAAAAGACAGCTTATGTGATCATATGAAGTACTGTTTGTAAGAGGTTACTGGAAGTCATTTGACTGCATCATTTCCTCTAACAGTGACACAAAAAATACTGCAAATATTACAAAATGCTTTGGGCCACTGAAGAATTCTGTCTAAATGCTGGTCCTCCCAATAAAGACAAAATGATTAGGTGGATTACAGGGGATGGGTCTGGATGGGATGCTCTGAGGTCGGTGTAGACTTGTTGGGTCGAAGGGCCTGTTTCCACACTGTAGGGATTCTATGAGTTCTATGAGTAAAACAAAATACTGACTAAATGGCGGAGGCGATGGCCTAGTGGTATTATTGCTGGGATGTTAATTCAGAGACCCAAATAATATTCTCAGGGCCTTGGTTCAAATCCCAGTATGGCAGATGGTGGAATTTGAATTCAATAAATATCTGGAATTAAGAATCTAACGACGACCGTTGATTGTCAGGAAAAACCCGTCTGGTTCACTGATGTCCTTTAGGGAAGGAAACTGCCATCCTTACCTAGTCTGCCTACATGTTACTCCAGACCCACAGCAATGTGGTTGACTTTTAACTGCCCTCTGGGCAATTAGGGATGGGTAATAAATGCTGGCTCAGCCAGCGATGCTCATCATCCCCTTAATGAATAAAAAAAAACTAAAACCGGTATCAGCATGGTCAAACGAAATACTGAAATCCCGACTTCACTCAGTGCAATAATACAGCTATTTATGCGAAGGTCTTTTATGTTGAGAAAGTCATTACTGTGAAACACCGCAAACACTTACACATCATTTTGTTTCTAATGGCATAGGACATTATTAAAGCTTGCAACAACCATTACCATGTCAACACTTTTTACTTTGTTTGTAATTGTTTAGAAACTCATTTAATGGTTTTTTTTGCATTTCCTTTTTGCTACGAGAAATTCTTCAAATAAATTAAACTATTTCACTAAAATATTCAACGTCAGGCAGAAAAATGTGGTTTATACAGTCTACATTACTTAAATGTCATCTCACTCAGTTCCTTTGCTACAAATGGAAAGGGAAAAAAGCATGAAAGGTCAAATGACTTATAGTTTCCTATTGGAAATATTTAGTTGACCATGAGAACATTAGTTATTTAGAAAGAATGTTGTTTAGATTGTTTTCTTTCTGCAAAACAAAATCTGAAATCTGCTCAAAACGCTTTCCTACCCAATGCATTACAAAAACTTCCAGTACCATACAAGTCTCATTTGAGAGAAGGCCTACCTAACAAGAAGAGATTCTAGAAGCTTTTTCAACCAACTTGACAAAGATAAAGTGATATATTGTACTAATTACATGAGAACTGACAGAAAGTTATAGTGAATCCCAGCCTATAGGGGAACTACGAAACTCAAATACAAAACCATAAACTAGGAAATTTAGTGATCTGAGCAATTTGTAACCATGTTGAAAGTGCTCCTGTTGAAATGCGTGTAGCGTGCACTGTGCTGTATTTGCAAATAAATTCCTTTCTTTGCTCTAATCAAGATACATGAAACAATTAAACAATCCTATACAGTTCTTGGACGTCCAAACGTCATAATCTAAAAGATATATGGAAATCACATGATCAAAAATAAAGATCGCATTCAATTCATTATGAGACCCAAATTCAAATTATGAGTTACATCAACAACTTAATATATTCCAACTTTATTGCTGTGACCTAAGTATACAAATATACAGCATGCCTGAATGTGAACACTAGATTTTTTTCAAGAGGAAATCAGCCAAAATAGAACAGAACGGTGCAGCAGTAAACTTTAAAGTGACAGTAGCTACATTTGTTTAAAGTGATCGTACAGTGCTTACTTGCTTCACTGACTTGCTTAAAATAAGCCTGTTTAATAGCCACTTCGCAAAAATGTGGCAGCTTTCCATCAGAAGAACCTAAAAAAAAACTTACGCTGTGCAAAACTATGAGCAGCATTCATAGGAGAAATTAGACACAGATTTAAACAAAGGGCAAGATATTCAGAAGTGATTTAAGGAAGATTTTTTTTCACCCAGAGGTTGGTGGACATCTGGAACTCACTCACTATCTGCAGAGGTGATAGAGGCAGAGACCATCACCCCATTCAAAAAGTATTTCAATGATCAATTGAGGTGCCATAGCATACAAGGCCTATGGGTCAAGCGCAGTAAAATGGAACTAAAATAAACTGGTGCTTATGATTGACACAAACACGATGGCCTTTGTTGTAAAACTCTATGCCTCTAAACCATAGTAATTAGGTCGCCTGCAAAAATCAAAGAAGCAGGTTTATCAATGTACAAAATCAATTTGTATTAATTAATACACTAGGGAGATGGTGATGTAGTGGTAATGTCACTGGGCTAGTAATCCAGAAGCCCTGGCTAATGCTCCTATTGTTGGTTCACTAGATAGCAATTCTGCTATCCTTTCACAAGGCCTATATATGCTTTCTGAAAGAGCCGCAAGCCACTCAATTCAAGAACAAATTGACATGGACAAAAATGGCCTTGACAACAATGCTGCGTTCTGTAAAAGGACAGGGAAAAAGTTGTTAGGGAAACTCTTATCTCACCCCTTGAGCCTCACACAATGAGCATCAAAACAAACAAAGCATTGCGGTTATAAACATTTCTTCACAGACTTTTCTCCAGCAGCAATGTAATTTCCTGGACGATGTGGTAGCATGTAATTCACAATGAAATGTACTACAACACTTTTAACAGCCTCACTAGCAGCACTGACTGTTCCATTCAGACTAAATGCCCATTCAACCAACATCACTTGAAAACAGTATTACATTCACCATTGCCAACCAACTAAATAACAGTCTCCTCCCAAATCTTTGAAACAGATGTTCAACTTTTGAAAACCCGCATATTGATTTTTCTCCCATATTTATAACCTTATAATTTTTTTCAAAAATAAACAAGTATCAAGTAGAAAAGATGGGCAAAAATAAACAAATGAAATGCTGAGGCATAATTTTCAATACAAATGTAGGTTGACAATGGCTGAAGAAATGGTTGCCAATAGATCAAGGAAGGCAATAAAAGTGTGGAGAAGGCATTAGGTAGGTCCCCTAATGTTATCACATCGGGTCAAAATTTTACATGTGATTTGGTGTTGAGGCACCCTTGACGAAATCGTAATCCAAACAAGGCTTTCACTGGAGAGGGGCCTGGCAGCAAGAGGGGTTCCAGCACCACTGCAACATCTACTGGCAGGGTGTTCCAGTCAGATCAGCAGTGTTCAAATAGCACAAGCCTCACTC